CCACATGAGACTTCACCATCATATAAGTTAACAGTTACAGAAAATAAACATTCTGATTTGCACAGGCCATTACTATTAATCACATCATGTGGCAAACTAAAATCCCCTTGCTAGCTAACGTTAGCTAACCTAATTTTACTGCAAGGTTCTGGGCTAAAACATCAGCTAGGTTAATGTTTAATGTAGTTTATAAGCTTAGATAAAATTGAGCCTGATGTAATTATGAATAGGGAGTACTGGCTTTACATTGTGCATCTATCTTACTGTTTACTTTAGCCTTAAATGCTAACAAACGTAGCTAACCTACCTAGTTAGCGTTAGCCGACTTGGCTTAGCGTGCTAAGGTTAACATTAGCTAGCTACGTAGTTCACACGATAAATTGAGGTCAGGAAAATAATACATACACATTTATAATACACTGGAGAAATTTGAGATCAAAAGATGAATAAGAGATGATAGATCAGAATTTCACCTTTTATTACCTGATGTTTACATCCAGATGTGTTAGACAACTAAGAACATGGCACCTTTAAACCGACCCATTTTTCAATTAAGCAAAAATATTGGCCCATGTGACAGGCGTTTCTTGTTGCCCAGCTGTGCCCTGTTTAATTGATTGTTTAAATAGTTAATAGCTCTGCATATTTACTCTTGGTTTGAGCCCTGGATTTTGCTTGTAAAAGCTTTAAAAAGGATAAACCAATATGAAGACTAGAAGACTAGAGCTGTCTATGGGAACAACACAAGCCATTTAGAAGCTGAGAAAAGAGGAAAAATTGATCAAACTCATTGCACAAGCATTGGACATAGCCAATACAACAATTTGGAATATCTAAAAAAAAATAAAGAAACCACTGGTGTACTTACAACCAGATATCGAAGTGGCTGGCCAAGGAAAACAACAGCAGTTAATGACAGAAATGTTGTGAGGGCTTTCAACAAAAACACAAAAACAGGGACATGGGAAGTAGGCTACGCATTCAATTATCTAATTATGTGGCAGCAGTATAGTGCACAAAATCATGCAAATACAGATTAGCAGCTCCAGGTAATGCTTACATCAACCATCAGAATGGGGAAAAAATGTGATCTCAGTGAGGCAGATGGGCTACAACAGCAAAGGACCACGTCTGGTTGCACTTCTGCCATCCAAAAACAGAAAGCTGAGGCTGCAGTGGGCACAGACTCTACAGTTGAAGACTGTAAAAATGTAGCCTGGTCTGATGAATCTCCATTTCCGCTGAGGCACACAGATGGTATGGTCACCAACAACATGAATCAATGAACCCAACCTGCCTTGTTTTGACAGTCCAGGCTTGTGGAGGTGGTGTAATTGTGTGGGGAATGTTTTCTTGGCACACTTTGTGCCCATTAAAATCAATCAACCATTGATTGAATGACACAGCCTATTTGAGTATTGTAGCTGACCATGTGCATCCCTTCATGGCCACAGTTTACCCATCTGCTAATGGCTACTTCCAACATGATAATGCACCATGTCACAAAGCAAAAGTCGTCTCAAACTGGTTTCATGAACATGACAATTTCAGTGTTTTTCAGTTGCTTTCCCAGTCACCAGATCTGAATCCAATAGAATACCTTTGGGATGTGGTAGAATGAGAGATTTGCAGCTTGCACCTGAAAAATCTGCAGGAATTGCATGAGGCAGTTGTGTCGCTGACCGAACCAGAATCTCAAAGGAATGTTTCCAACATCCTGTGGAATTCACGTTATGAAGAATTGAGGCTATTTTGAGAGCAAAGGGAGGCCCTACAAAGTATTAGTATAATGTTCCTAATAAAGTGCTTGGCAAGCATATACTGACCTAAAGATAAAATATCTCACAAAATATTTAAAATTATGCCATCTAATAAATTATCTTACTGTAAAAAATTATTAACACAACACTAATATTGTTATTAGTGTTTTATTTGTACCCAGTTTCAGCTGATGTTTCAGCTCAGTTCAGTCACTCAGTCAGCAGTTAAACTCAATATTTAAAATGGGATTCAGAAGCTGATGGTGCATACCTCAAGAACTAATAGAGAGAACAAATTAAAAATTTTGTGTAGTTGCATAGATTAAAGTGGAGTTTTCCTGAATTCGTGGACATGCATACAGGACCTGACAAGCTTTGAGAGAGAAAACTCTTTTACACTGGAAAACTAATTTACACTAACAAATTGGTGTGTCGAATAAGATCTTAATCATGCAAGAAGTTGTCTTTGTGTGTTGTGTATTGGGCAAAACGTTTTGACCAAATAATCATTAAAACATGTTAACCCTAAGGTCAGAACCATATCGTTAATATCCATAATTCACACCCTCAGACTTCCAGAGATCATGAAATGCCATTCTACAGTAAACTGAATTTGCAGGGTTTCTCTCTTCTAAATCCAAATGCCTGATCTAAACTATGTGGTGTAAACAGTATGTTATGTGCCTAAACCTATTTCACTTGTTAGGCATTAAATAAATAGGCCTCTGTGTGAAGAGCTTTTTATATTACAGCACTTTTTAAACAAACTTTCAGCATGTGCATAAGATAGTGTGTTTAAAAATTGAACATTAATTTTCAGAAAAATTTAAGTTTAAATTTAAGAAATTTAAAGTTAAGAAGACAAATCATTTGAAACCTACTAAGGACACAGATATAACTTTGAATGTATAGCTGTTTGTGCTTAAGCCATCAAATTAATTCACTTTGGTTTTGGTCAAACTTGTGTGAGAACCAAAATAATTCTTAGGAAAATGTGATCACACTTGGAATGAAAGTGGTCATATTGCCCCCCAAACCAGTTCACGCTCCTTTTAAATTCCATTTGGTGGTAAAAATAGAAAGAAGCCCACATCCAGCAGATAAGAAAAGCTGTTGTGTGCTGACAATCTTTGTCCAACACCCTCAACATGAGGACACTGCAATCTATGCCCTACATTTAACTTACAGATCAGACATGACAATATGCCACAAATTTTATTAGGTAACGAGACATTTTCCTAACACAAACAAAATGTTGGATATAAACATAATGCTTAATGTAAAAGCTTAAAAGCTGTAAGCATGTTAAAGTCTATGGTTGTGAATGTCAAATACCAGGTTTCTGTGTTAGTGTAATGCATGTACATGTACCTTTTCTTGGATTTGTTTGCTTTACTTTGTTTTCACACCAAAAGCTTTGAGCTAGCAAGAGCTGGTGGGTTTTCAGAAAATGATGGTTAGGGTTTATAAAGTACATAACATAGTAAAAAAGTAAACTAAAGAAATAACAGAATATCCAAGATCAAAATACTTTGTAGGGTTACCCTGGTGAAAAAATCAGCATAGACCAGCATGGCTGATCACCAGCAAAACCAGCTGTGGCATGCGCCCGCCCCCCGGGCCCCGACGATGACGGCCGCGAGAGCCGGCAGGAAGGCGGGGCCCGAACACCCAGCGGCGACGAACCTCGGCCAGGACTGCAGGGAGAGAGCCGCGAGTGGGGAGGGGGCGGAGCGCAAAGCCCGAGCTCCTCCGAGTAACCCGAGTGACGCGAGTGACGGCAGGAGGGGGAGGAAGACGACGACGGTGCCGGCAACGAGAGGCACCAGGGCAAGGAGCGAGTCCCGAGCTCCGCCGCCTGGGCCCCGCCCCCTGTTACGCAGCGAGGCCGCTTCACTACACCTCACGTTCGACCCGGGCGGCTGAGCTGCAAGCTGGGGGCGGTGACGGAGAGGCGGAGGGGCGAGCTCTCGTTCCCTCTCGGCTCAGGTGCTCACGCTTCCCTTAATGAGAGCCAGCTGATGCTGATCTGGCTGGCAGCGCGAGCGCCTTTTAAAAGAGCTGAGAGGGAACAGAGCGAGAGACTGAAGAGCTGAAAAGCTTGAGTGTGAGAGACTGAAAAGTCTAGCCAGCTTAAGCCACTGAAAAGTGGCCCGCGTACCTTTGGTTAGGTTTTAGAGTTTGTTTATTTTGTGTGATTAAATAAATATGGCTGCTGCAACCCTAAACCCTGCCTCCAGCATCCTCCTTGAGCCCGGGGTAGCACATGCCATGCTACACCAGCCTAAGTTGTGTTTTGGATGCTGGTACGCTGGTCAGCAGCAAAGGAAATTAGCATGCTGGTCACCACCAACACTACACTGTAAAACACAACAGTTGCACTTTATTTTTAGTATCATTTTTATTTTGTTTACTTTACTCATCTACTAAACTTACTAATGCAAATGTAGTAACACTCACAATTTCTTGTGCAATACCCAAATTACTTATGTAAATCTACTTAAGTTCAATTAATTCACTTAGCTGATTAATTCACAATTAGCTAAATTAAGTCTTACTGCCTGAACAGTCTGTTGCCCAAAATGCTTTCCAGCATTCTTAGCAGCTTTGTTGGTTTATATTAATTAACTCTTATTTTTTGTATTTTTCATCAGTTCTCTTTGCATAATGTTATATTCAAGTCATAACTTCTTCATCATGCTAAAATGTTGTTAGGATTAATTTGAGATGTTTTTGCTTTCTTCACCATGATGGTGTTTTGTGTTCAGATTTATTGGTCATTTATGTTGGCAGATGGTAAATACCATCCTCTAAACATTTTTTAAACACAATAGTAAAGATACATGAAGCCATTTGAGTCTTCAGAAAACTGTGAATCCTGTCTTATGAGCTGTTTGCTCATTACTATAGGGAACAATCCACACATAATAATAAAGTTGTTTCAATTGTTACCAATCCATTACACACATCGGGCTGTGTGAGTTAACCTTACTTGCAGAAGAAGTGTGGATCAGTTAACTATATATAATAACTATAACTCAAATATAAAGTTATTTAAGCTTGAACCTGTTATGTAACATTTTCGAGGCAATAAGTTTGCATTATTTTTAAAGTAAAGTCAACAATGCTGTGACCAGAACTAGACCAGCATGGAATTCTAGCAGTTTTTTCAGCAAGGTACCTTGCTGTTTTTTTCTTAAGGCATCACAAGTAGAACGCCTGAACAAAGAATGAAATAGGTTTTTGGTTTTAACAACTTGCTTTATTTTTTAATTCATATTTAAGACAAATACAGTGTCATTCTTAACGGTACTTCTCAGACAGGACCAGGTTAACTTGTGAAAGGAATTTGTCCACCGCCACGTGCACCTCGGGGGTGAAGTCATCTGGAAACAGCATGGCAAGCACCACAAGGATATTGTGCGAGATGATCTAAAACAAACAAATAAATAAATAAACAAACAAATTAATGGCCTATTTTGTCCCTGCCAAAAGAAAACATTAGGATTAAATGCAGGCCCACATTAGGATTAAAACCCTTTAAACGGTTTTGCTTTCTAATAGGAATTGGCTTCATGGTTTCCAATAGAGACCACTAGTTTCCTGTAGAACACCGTTAGATCCCATTAGGAAACCTTCGATTACTTTTAGAATCAGGCATTGGTCACCTGTTAAACCATTAGGATCCTTTTTATTGTGATATCAACCCTCTAAAAAAGCCAAAACACATTAAAAAACCAGCAGGAACCATAGAAACAGGTAATGGGCAGTAAAACACTTTGACAGCACAGAATGACTTGAAGACAGAGAGCAGTTTTACAAACTAAACTACCTTGAAATTTGCAGGGTCCACTCGCAGTATGAAGGCGTGGAGCTCGCTGAGGTTAAGGAGGCCTTCCTTCAGGTTATCTATCAATTCAACAGCACGGAGGACGCCCTGCAGCACGGTCAGTCCATGCTTCCTCACTTGTGCTGAACCTGCGGTCAGGTCTTTCCAGTGGGAGAAGTAAGTCTTTGTCTGAGGATAGACGGTCAAAGTCCTGATAAAAATGTAGACAAAGTGTATAAATACTCACTGTGCAACAGATGCTCACTTTTCTCTGGATTAGATGTATTTGTATGAAATATGGAATGAAAAGAACAGAAAATTAACCAGAATATTACCTGGAGAGGACCTCCTCACCAATCTGCTCAGCCATGGGGCTGACTTTGTTAAAGAAAGCCTTCCCTGTGGCTTTATCCTTTGCGGTAAGACTCATTGTTCTTAGCTGTTGAAAGCGTGCCAAAAAATCCTGTCACGGCTTTTTATATGCACTGACCACTCAGGACCAAAGACATACTGAGCTGTTAAGACCCCTCCCTCGACTTTATCTTGGAAAGACTGCATCTCATATTGTAATCTTGAAGGAAACTCTAAGGCTGTATCCAAAACCTCATACTATCACACTAAATAGTAGCTTTAAAAATAGTACACCACCAACAGAAGTACATTCATTAGCGTAAAATGTGTAGTATAGTATGTGGTTTTGGAGGCAGCTTGAATTTCTGTATAATTTAGCTGTTGAGATGTAGACAAAGTCATTCAGAGTGGTTTGATGTGAAATGGTTCAACCAGGGGTCTCCATGTCTACAACACAAATATAGCCATTTTGTACTTACATGTGTCTACTGAGGTTTATATCAATGTTGATGACAGCAAACGACTTGTGGAAAGTTTTAAAATTTGGTAGAATTAACTTTAAAGAGCTTAATCCCTCTAAAAGTTCCATCACAGAAAGATATTACACAGAAATGGTATTGAAAACTCTGCCTGATGCCTGAAACATTGTTTTAAACATTGTTAAATACCTACTTTGGGTAATGTAGCTCTTTGGAAACTTTATACTTCTTTGTTTGACATTAACAGCAAAATTACTTTGTTTAAAAGCCAGTTTTATGGTCATCTGTCAAGCTAACTGGTAGCTGCAAAAAAAGTTAATGTCAGTTCATGTTGCCTCATGTTGCTTGAAAAAAACATCAAAGATGGTTAGACTTTGCTGGGATGTGGGAACATAAAATATAAAAAAAAGACAAAAGCAGAACAGAGCACAGCAGAGAGGTCCTCCAGAACCAGGACTGGGAATCGCTAGTTCTGGTGTGTTGCAACATTGTTCAATGTGAAATGAATTTGAGAAGAATAGTGTTGGGAATGGGCAATCTACACATTATATATGTTCTTATATTATTTTATCTTGATCCACTGTTAATCTTTCACCTTTTAATTGCTGGATTCTTAACTTCACAGACAAGGTTCATTATTAAATTTCTGCTGTTCATACAGTTTTGAAGCTACAAAATTTGATGTAGCTGCCATCTCAATGTCAATGTCTATTCGTTTTGTGTCCCTGATCTTCTCATCTAGTTTCATTCCTCTTTCATCTTTGAAATTTTGTTCAAAAAGAAGTATAAAGCTATTTCTTTTCGTTTCCTGTCTTTCAGCTTAATTTCACTATTTAAATAATACACTTTTTTTCTGTCTTAACCTTTCAACTCTTGTTAAGTCCACTTATGTTACCATTATGTGTTCTTCTTGTTAACTTACTATTGGAGTTTCACACTGAAATCATTCAATGTTTTTATTTTAAAAAGTGATTTTTCTTTAAAAAATTTGAGTTAACAGAAGTAATAAGTTAACAAAATGCAAAAATCTATATAGCACCAAAAAGGGTTCTTCTACTGTTATGATGTCAAGTTTCTAACAAGTAATATATAGAACGATTTTCAAAAATATTATAACACATTCTCCATCAATCTACAGAACTATTTCACCATGCAAAGACCTATTTAGCAATAAAAATGGATCTACAAAGAACTCATGGTTCTAAATAGAACCATTGCCTTTAGTAAAGAACCCTTGAAGAATCATCTTTTTAAGTGTGTATTGAATTATTCTTGTGTTCTGTGTGAGCCTTGAATGATACCAATATCTGAAATCTAGAATATGTGTAGAGAATTTTAAAACAAATCTCACTATAGAAGCAGTGCCACTTTTGAATGAACCCTGTGACACTGGAGATGCTTTCGTAGAAAAAGTCAGCCAATGACATGCTTCACCCAATGATGTGCTATTTCAATTCATTTTTTAGCCAGTTAAGCCGGTTATGTTCCTGCCCTAATTGATGTAGATATGCCCTAATATTTATGCTGCATTTGAATTTAGGCTTAGAAGAAAATGGTACTTTAAAAAAGACAAGCCAGCTCCTATCTGCTGAGAACATGCACACAGTCTATCTTGATGCTCCACCCTTGGGTGTCATCTAGATTAGCCTATGGCGAATTCTCCAGCATTTATCTTTGGACATCTGTGCCATTTGTGAAAATGTGGAGCAAGACGAGCTCTTACTTTGGGCTAAAAAGTACTAATACATCAGCAATTCATGTTAGACTAATTAAATGATTAAATAATGAAGACAATTATTATTTATTCTAATTTTAGTTCATTGTTTTTTCTAGGCTGGTGATAATCAAATGGCTTTAGCATATATTTTTGCTTAGCAATGTGAAGTCAACTGAACTTCCCTAAACTGCCACAAGCCTGTGCTACTTTGTCCCAAGTGATCTATACAGTAAATGTTTGACATGGTGGAGAACTGATGACCAGCACTGTTTGCTCATTCATCTCTAAAATAAACCAATTCAAGTTTGCTCATTGCTCTCTGAAACATCACCTAAACCTGCACTGAACTGATGAGTTGGATCAGGTGTATTTGAGCAGGAAAATCACCAAACTTTGCAGGAATTTTGTCCTCCAGGATCAAAGTTCCCCACTACTGATTCAAATAATTGCAGCCTTGAAGTATGAAAACCAAATTGATGCTGGTCTCGTTGCGCCCCCTGGCGAGTGACAAAAACACTTAAGAAAGCGCAGAGAAAGCCAGTTTAACGTTGGTCCACAGCACCCCCTGTCGTCCACAGAACACCCGGCACAATGCATCCAGACATTTCAGAACATAAAGCCCAAGTCTATAAGGTCTAAATTTATTTCTTCAAAAACGAGAAAAACAAAACATTACAATGTGTGGATTTCTTTTTTTTAATAGGGGTACATGATGCTAATTAAAAGGGCAAATGTGCCAAAAGATATACAGAATTTGTGAACAGATATTACAAATATAAAGATATACAGAGAGAGTTAAATAAAACAAATATAAAAGATTATAAAAACCAATTAGTTCCTAAACGGGTGATAAGAAAGCATGTGTAAAAACATGATAAAAAATCTAGTTACCCATCATATTACACAATGATTGCAATTCAAACAGTTAATAACTTGTGTGGATAAAAGCTAAAAAACTTGTATAGTCATTTGCTTAAAACCTTTGGAAATGACATATATTATTCTTATTTCAGAAAACATCTTATTCAAGACATTCTTCATAGATAGTTCTGAGCCTTTTTTCCACACTTTCTAGACCCACACAACAACAGCAACTGGTTGAGGGGCACAGTACCGTGCCCACTTCAGCATCAAAGAGCACTAGCTCCACCCACAGTCCATCCCAGCCTCAGCAAAACATCTCTACCAATCTCTTCAAAGTCTTGTGGAAATTCACTACTTTTTAAACATCTCTGGCAACATGTGCAACCCCTCACTGTGCAGACACTCTCAACTGAAAAGCCAAAATGGATTTGGAAAGTTCAGTCCAACTATTTGCTATTCTGTCTTCGGAGAGCCTACTTTATTTATAATTACAAAACAAGCCATTTCTACAGTCTAGCATACATATTCTAAAAGGCTGTAACCTTCATGATCAGAGGCAAAACCACAGTCCACACACTGAAACTACACAAGTCGGGGAAGAATCAGCGGCTGCAACTCTATCTAGCACGGTGACAATAATCAGTATACGTGGAGAGCATGTAATATTGCTGTTAGTCTGCACAAAAACAAGCTAAGGCAAATCCTATTTGACACACTGCTGTACAGGTGTAGACGTTATAAACTGTAACCAAATAGTAAAAAGATCACAATATTATCATTATTAAACCTTTGAACTGACAAACTTCCCCTTTGAATCACTTAGTCATACATGACCCAGTACTGATCTATGGATTTGTGTAAAAGACATATGTGAAGACAATACTGTTAAAAAAGGCTGGTCAGAATATTCTGATGTGCTGTGCATAACTTAGCACCCCTTATCAAAGATTTTATTTGTTGTAAAAAGTCAGTAACAGTGTTTGGCTAGAGCAAGGGTTCTTAACCTGGGGGTCAGGACCCCCTCAGGGGTCGGGATGTGGTCCCGGGGGGTTGCGAGAGTTGTGTTACAAGATATATACCTTATAAAATACAGAGAAAACAAATTTGATGCTCTGCAGAATGGCTCCACCTTTAGGCCATGGAAGACAGGTTATTATGGATTTTAAATTTCTATTGGGTAAGGGAGGGTCCTGAAATATTTTTAACCACAAAAAAAGGCTCACACTGTGAAAAAGGTTAAGAACCCCTGGGCTAGAGCACCATGGCTTCAATAAGTATAGCAAGTTTTGATTAAAGAATAATTGTAGCTCTTAAATTTATAAATAGAATATGGCTAATTCACTAATCATGGAGGTACAATTACTAACGTAATATTTTTTCACCCCTATCAAAGACAAAGGCAACGCTGCTGCATAAATTATATTAATAGGCAGATAATTTAATTGATTTCCTACTGTATGTGGGATCAAATAAGCTAACCAGCAAATCAAAGCAACAAAACTAAGTTTGTTTAAAAAAATCATGGGATAGGAAACCGGGTGTGGGTTTTCTATTCTATGATGGAATGATCAGGTGAAAAAGTATTGTTAAAACACCACCGAAAATATATTTGAATGGCACCAAGTGCTTACATCTTGGAAGAGTGCACACATACAAAATCACCCAAATATAGTCACACAGGGCAAATGTATACAGAAGTAAGATGTGTCTGTGCCTGCAAAAATGGGCACAAACTCAATCTCTCTCACATATACACATGGTAGAGTGGACGAGGAACTGGAAAAGGAAGAATCAGCCCATCTCTTTTATTCCTTCACTTCATTTCGGATGAAGATGGTGGGGATCCCAAAATCGGAGACTTTGGAGACACCTGAGAGTATTGGAAACAAAGTATAGTCACAGTAAAGAACACAGCACAATCACATATATATGTGTGTGTTTGTGTGTGTGCGCGTGTGTGCATAACTTTACTCACAGGGGACGGTGGCTTGGCAAAATTGAGATGGGCGTACAGAAGCACGGCAATGTCATTCTGACTGGCCTCCAGTGCTATGGAGAGAGCAGTGCTGCCATCCTGAGGGAACAAAGAAGGCTGATAAAGACACTTTGGATACTTTGGAAAGACAGAGATCATTGTGAATACATCAAATCTGAAGGTGAATATATACAATTTCCACTCACGTTGTCTGTAAGGGTGGCATCACAGCCTGGCACAGACAGCAGTTGTCGCACAATGTCCACATGGCCATGCTCACAGGCGCACATGAGAGCTGTGGAGCCGTCATCATCCTGCAAGTTGACCTGAGCTCCACAGGACAGCAGGGCCCTGACCATGTCCCCTCGGCCATGACTGACCGCAAGCATCAGAGCTGTCTGCCCTGCCTATAACACAAACAAATGTACTAATGTCAGTCTTATCTACAGACCATGTGATGATTTACTTGAAGTATAGCACTGTGCAAAAGTCAGAAACCGACCACACTTCATTTATTTAATTTCCTGTCAAAACAGCCAATAAGCTATTCATTTTTCAGCTTCAGGAAAAAACAGAAAACACATTTAACAGAAAATGACAGAAGCCTCAACAAATGCACGTAATATCAGCGGTTTCAGTATTTAGTGCGTCTACACTTTGCATTTATTACAGCTTCTATTATTTTCAGGAGACTTGCTTTTCAGGGATATTTTTCTACTGCGCCAAAGTTCAGTCTTAGAAGTTGGCTGTATTTTCTGCTTTTCACAATTCAAGTAATCCCAAATACATTCAATGATGCTGAGATGTTGAGTTCTGGACTCTGGGGTGACCAGTCCATTAAGAACACCTGCAGCTTCTTTGTTTGATTTGCAACTATTATTCTTTTTGTCTGTCTTTCTATTTATATATGTGTGAAACACCTGTGGATCTGAGACAAGTGATTCGACCCCTCTCTTTCAAGGGTGAAGCTTTAAGTACTGTTTATCTGATGTTGACAGTTTTGTGGCATCCCATTTTCTCTACATCTTTTAATACTTTTTTAATTCTAGTTTTGGAAACTTCCATATGGAAGTGAATTATCGAACATCTAATCTTATAAAAAAGTGTATAACAGTGGCTGTTTTGATTGGAAATTAAAAAAATGGAGGGTGGTCTTTGACGTCTGTGTAGGACTTTGTATTATTAATGTCCTAAGAAAACTTTCTATCTCAGTTTTTCATAGGCAAAACTGCACTTGATTGAATCTCACAGTTTTAAAATAAAAATAGCTGGCAAGGTGTGGACTGAACTACACTGTTTGACCAGTAAAGGGCGCACCTGGCTAGCCTTGGCATTGACATCTCCGGTGCGGAGCAGCTGCAGGACAGTCTGAAGGTCGCTGTCAGAGTGGAACGCAGCCAGAGCTGTCAGCATGATAGCAGTGTATCCAGCCTTGTTCTGCTTGTCCGCATTACAGAGACCTGCACAAGGCAAACACATACCTGTCACATGCTGAACAAGGGCAACACTGTCTGCCTGGTACACTTATAGAATACTGCTAGATTCATGACTGTCTGTTTGACAGTCTTGGCCACAACACAATACAGTTTGGGGATTTCCCTGCTTTAATACACCTTATTAAGTTTGTCAGCTAATTGTCATGGCCTTGCTAAGATTAATCAGGCGGGTTGGACCACTAAACAGAGTTAAAACTTGTAAAAATGGAGTTTCTGTGGCTTTCCAGTACTGGAGTTGGACAGCCTTGCTGTAGATACACAAACACTCACAATGCAAAAAAGTCCATTTCCTTATTATTAACATTTGTTAACATTCTTCACCACAAGAACTAACCCGTGTCCAGCAGCAGTTTGACCACAGGGAAGTTGGAGTGTGAGACAGTGTAGTGCAGTGCTGTGTTTCCATTGCCGTCTGCCATGTTGACCACAAACTCTAGCAGCTGGGGTGAGATGGAGGCAAAGGCATCCATGTAGGCTCGGACTACTGCTGTATCCGCTGATTTGTGGCACGAAACGCGTAGCCACTCCTGCAGCACTGTAGTGTAGGCCGTCCTCTAGGAACAGAACATAAGCACAAGGCTTTAAACAAAGGCATGTCACAAATGCTATTGGTGCAAGGTTGGGAATGGGCTTCTATGGCAGTAGGATGGGATGAAATGGCATTCTGGCTCATTTCTCAAAACTCTACGTAACTCTACATTTTTTATAGAAAAACTGCATATAGTTGTTTTACTCTGTTCTATAGTGAAACAAAGTGTCTGTTGAACACACCCTTAAGTTCAGCCTACAGTTCTTTCAGCCAGTGGGAAATGTGCTTGCAGCAAGAGCTGCCCAAGCAGTCGCCATGATAATGACTGTCAGCATGCTGTGTGTTTGGAAAATGAAAGCAGCCAAGAAACTCTACAATCGATAAAGAAAGTGGTGGCTTGCATATGGATATCTAGTCTACTTATTATAATTATTATTATTATTAAATGATTTGTGTGTTTGTGATTAAAAAAATATCCATTAGCTAGCTTAGTTAAAAATGTCCACAATAACTTAGCTTATTAGTTAATGTGAATCAAATGTAAGGTAAAGGAGCTACTGAGCTAACTAGCCTCCTATCAGCTATTCACTGTGAGCTAGCTAGGTATCAAAACATAAACTTATCCAAGGTAAACATTTACCTAATTTTAACTTTAAAAGATAGATAGATAGATAGATAGATAGATAGACAGATAAATATTATACAAGTTCATACATACCGCCCCCTGCTGGCTGAAGGCATTTGGTTCACCGAGTGCTCTCTGCAAGGTGTGAAGGGCTGCCATGAGGCCCTCACTCAGTTCCCCTCTGAAACCAAACAGGTAAAGACTTCAACTTTCTCAGCACATCATTCAGTGAATACCCAGCACTCATATATTTGTAAATATCAAAATAATTATAATTGGCACCTCACCTGTTTTCCTGTTTAGTTGCGTTTGAGCAGGTATTTTTAGTTGGAGTGCTGGCTGGAGATGGGACTGTGTCCTCTTGGGCAGAAGTATCTGAAACCTTTGATTTGAGGGGTCCCTGCTGTGGAGTGAGGTCAGTGGTTTGTGACTGGCTGACATTTGGCTGAGAGGAGCCAAAGGTACAGGATAAAGTAGTGGGCTGCTGAGAGGTCAGTCTTGAGGCCTCTGATTGGTTAGAATTCTGCTGAGAACTGGAGTCAGTGGTTTTGGCTTGGTTAACAGTTTGTTCCAACACCATGCAGGTGGCTGATGACTGGATGCAGCTTTGCTCAGGGGAAGTGACAGTGCTTTGGGAGGTATGCTGCTGAGTAGGACCTGTCTCTGCTAATTGGCTGACTCTGTCCTGAGGAGTCATGGCAGTGGTAGACGACTGGCTTGCACAGTGTTGTTTATCAGTATCTGAGGCTGGTGACTGGATAACCTGTTGCCATGCAGCAGTATCTAAGGCTGGTGACTGGTTGGTGCTCTGCAGAGTGGAAGCCTCATTGACTAAAGGTGGGACAGTGCTGTGCTGAGGTGCAGGGCCAGCTTCTGTCTCTGCTGATTTGGGGAACTCAGAGGCAGAGACAGCAGGGCTGGTGACAGAGGCTGCCTGAGGCTGTTGAGCTGCAGATTCTGGTAGCTTTTCTGTGGCCTCATGATATTCACTTGCGTCACTCTCATCCTCTGAACTCTCAGAACTGCTCTCCTCTGTTGACGTGGACTCGTACCTGCAGTGCATGGTACTGATCTTATTTAGTGGTTTCACAAAGAGTTACTGACTACAAGCAGTTTAGTAGGAAAATAAGGTCTAGTATGCATTAAGTACATGCAGAAAATGACAATGTAATACAAATCCATTTTACCCTCCATTGACTCCTATGAACTGGAGATTCTTCTTGGTTGAGGGAGAGCCTGGTTCTTTCTCTGCCTTACGCTTCATTATTGATCTCAAGCTGGACTGAGGGGAGGCTTTAACAGAAACAGAGATACTTAACATTAAAGTTTAAAATCTTCAGAGGACCTAGTGGACTGTATCTATGTCTGAACATAAAAGTTAAAATAATGGTGAAAAATCCAATTTATACAATTTTTCACTAACCCCAGATGTAGTTGACAAGCCAAGGTGTCCAAATCTTACTTCTGGGGTTTAGCATTGGAGCAGTAAAGTCTAACATTGCTAACAAACACTAGAAATCAAATCATGTAAAATCTTTTCTGTAAATACATCACTATAACCTCTCTTAACCCACCTAAACTACATCTAGGACTTCATTAAGACTACACAGACTTGTCAACATGATTTAGGACACAGTGTGACTTTCTGTGAGCTATTAAAATAAACAAAACTTTACACTGTAGCTAAACCCAGCAGACAGCCATTGCAGACAACAGGTATTGTGCTGAATTTGGACTCTGCTGCAAAATTCAAAGTCCCTTCACATTCACACGCATCATGTGGACATATGGATGCCAGATTATATTTGCAAATTGTTTGTGTTTAAACATTTATTTCAGTTTTTAAATCAAGATAAACAGTTATTTATTAAAACTGAAATTAAATTGGTGAAATCCATATGCCTGCATGACATGCGTACGTGTGAAGGGAAGTCAGAATTTGGCACAACACCTGTTGTCTAAAATGGGACCTGCAGCATTCTGTTACACAGTAAAATTTTTTCATTTTTATAGCTCACAGTAAATCATACTATGTCCTAATCCACATCAACAACTTTACTGAAGGCCTGGTTGTGGTTTGAGAGGGTTTTGCGCACATTTGCCCAAACATTTGGGTGAGTATTGGCATCTAGTAGCAAAGTTAACGCCATAGCTCTAGCTCTAAATTAAAGAAGAAAAATGTGGGCACCAAACATGTCGTGGCAGATCAACTACATCTGGGATAAATAGAAAATTGTGCAAATCAGATTTTATAGTGAACCATTCCTTTACTATTAAATAGACAAATGCCAAAAAGTTACAAATAGAGGGAGATACCTGGTTTGGTTGCATCTTCATGCGACTGGATGACTTCTGTGGCTGGCTGCTGGTGTGCCTCTCCTTCCTTCAGCCTCAGGCAAAGGGGAGCCACTTGATTGCACTTTGTCTCCATGGCAATAGCTGGGCTGGTGACGGGCACTGACGTGGACACTTCGCTTCTCAAGACCTCTCGTACCTGCTTGGAGCTTATTGCAATTGGCAGCTCTCTTGGTGATTCTGAGAAAAGTAGGAGGGAGAAGACAAACACAGCAAACTTCAGCTTTCACATTTATGGCTACCTCACTTCATAACTGACTGGTAAACAATGGGAAAAGGGAGTGGGGTGGGTCTGTTGCAATACTACCTTCTGCAACCAGTGGTTCAGCATGTCCTCTGTGAGGCCCTCCCTCCAGAAGGGCTGCAGAGAGAGGTCTTGTGGGGGAACTACAGTCTTGAGCCCTCAACAGAGTGCCAACTCCCACCACTGTGGGCTGCTCCAGTGTGTACACCTGGATTCCTACTGTCCTCTGCTGCCTCTGCTGGTCCTGCTGGGTGAAGCTGACCACTGTGTGAAGGCCAGCCCCGACCCGGCCCTGCTGCTGCTCCTGCCAACCCAGGCTCGTAGCCCTAACAGCACGGTCAGCCTGTGGGGGTCCAGCCAGCCTCTCCCTCTCCTTCTGTGCTGACTCCACCTTCTTTTGGGCACTCTGCAGCTCTTGCACTGTCCTCTTCAGCTGTACCTCCAGCTGTTCCACCTTGGTCTTCAGAGCTGCTGTCTCTGGCAGCAAGCCCAAGTCTTCCTCACGCACATCTACTCCGACCTGATGGGTGCCTTTATTCTCCTCAACATCAGGACCCACCCCAATGGTGCGAACTTCCTTCCTGTTCCCAGGCCGTGCGCCACCCACAATTACTGTGTCTTCAATCTCACACCCTGAGTCCTGGCGTGAGCCATCAGGTGCGGTTGGCGACAATCCCGCTTCTACCTTGGTGGTTCCAGCCCCAACATCCTCCTCAGGGATGTCGATGTAGAGCTCCCGTGGTCGACCCCGACCCACTCCCAGGAATTTCTGGCTCTTGAGCTGCACGCTGAGCTGCCTCTTCTCCTCCTGCAGCACAGAAATCTTCACCTGCAGTACAGGGATGGTCTTCACTTGCTCCTCTAGGTCACGTATCTTCCTCAGAGCCAGGGCCATTTGCTCACGAACATGCTGCAAGTGGGCCGGGGTAGGGGACACAGGCGTGGAAAGGCCCGAGCTGGCCGACGTGTACGAGCCACCACCTACCTGGGCCCGGTTGAAGCTGTGGGCGCTGGAAAGCGAAGTGTTAGAGCCGGCCACACTGCTATGCATGCTGCCCAGGTTGGAAAAGCGCCGGACATCTTTCTCCTCCTCCAGCTTGCGCCGGGCATCAAGCAAGGTCTTTTCCACACGGGCTGCGCCGAAGCCGGGCCGTTGAGTGGTGTGGTAGCCTGGGGCACAGTATGAGTATGATGAGTGGCGGCTGTCCACACTGGCATTGGAGCACAGGGACTCGGTTGAGGTCCACCATGAGCCAGTGTAGCCATATCCGCGCGGCAGGGAGCCATATCGTGGCCGGCGCTGCACAGGCACCTTCTTTATGGTGTTACCCTTCTCAATGTCATTAACATATTTGAGGAAGTCCAGATCCAGACGGTAACCATAGGGGGTCTCTACTGAGTAAGGAGCCTCTGAGTCCTTTGCGTGCAGGGAAGTTGGAGCTGGAGGGTTAATCTTCCCTGCAGAGAGGGGAAATCAACTTTAAACCAGAGGAAATCTCAGTCTAATCTGAGTCAGACTACAGAGAATAGCATTTACTGCAGGCAATATACAGCTAAAGAATTTGCTGCAGTAGTTACTTAGCATCTCCTAATGGAAATAAAGTTTGGGAGGGAGGTCTAAGCCTAATCCTCTTGGTAAACAGATGTACAGTAGCAGACTTTGTAGGAAAACAATAACGGCTATTTCTCAAATAAAATTACTGTAATCACGGGGGTAATGACATCTAAACAATTTAAGACATTTTAGGTATTTGTAATATTTTATTTATTATTTCCATTATTTAAAAAAATAATAATAATAATTTATGCATTTAAGAGCCTGTCATTGGGCACACACTGAGATTGTTAATTTCTTTGTTTCTCTTTGAGGATTATTATTCTAAGTCCTAAAGAAGAGCTACCCACATTAAATTTGAACAATATAAAAATGTTTATGCTTGCTGTGTGAAAGAGGTAGTATATACAAGGTATCTGCGATATAAATGTACCTGGGAAGCTGGTGTCCATATGCAGCACTTGAGCCATAATGTCAACCTCTTGTCACACCATCACATTCAAAACCTAAAGAAGGTCAGGGAGAGAAAGAACATTAGAGAGATTACTGCATGCAAGTTGTCAATCACCATCCTTGCAGAGACATCCAAGTGCAGCTGCACATACACGCACACACATATGCAGACACACACAAACAGCCATAATCATGAGTAAAACTCTGCCCATTGTGTCAGAGGTACAGGAGGAAGCCTGTCCAGACTCTTCTGACCCTGTGTTATAAAGCACGTTAGGTGTTTGTGCTGGTTTTACAACAGTTGTAATTCGTAACCACTTCTCTGAGTGGTTCCCAGTCTCTCTCCACCGCTAGAGCCTGACTGTTCATTTTCTGTTTGTTTCTGGTTCTCATGCTTGGTGAGAAGAGAACGGAAAGAAAAGTTTTGTTGGCAGCTACAGTAACTCGTGGAGAAATGGCTTCTAGTTTCAACCTTATTAGGAATCATTTGCTCTCACTGTGGTACTCCATATGGAGGTGCTGGAAGACACACACATACACACACACACACACACACTTCATTTCTCTTCCACATTTTTCCATGCCTTCCACCTCTCTCCATCTCCTTTTCTCTTTCCCCCACCTCCTTTTATTCCCTTCCCCCTCTCTCCCCTTCTCTCTTTCTCTTTAGTCAGCTGACGATCAGGAGATTGCAGCTGACCGCTGTCTCCTCTTCCTCCTTCCTGTCTCTCAGTGGCATATCCCAACTCCAGCAGAGAAAGCCTGTTCCACCTATAAATCAGATGGGCCAAACAAAACAGCTACTGCCTCCACGAATGGGCGCCTATATTCCTGCACTGATATTAGCCCCTAACGTAGCATGCTGTTTCAGGCAGCAACACTCTCCTGCTGGCTTTGGCCTGTGCTCCCCCTTCGTTTCAAAAATGGCTTTTGGAGTTAGAGAGCCTCCTTGCCAAAGATTAACTTTCTAGGTCATTAGTGTGTGGAGAAGGGTTTCTGGGGGGGTTAAGGGGGAGAATTATACACTTTAGTCATCTCTCGCTTGGCTGTGCTACAGGCTATCTATGTTCCTAGCATAAACTGGGTGGCAAGTTTAAAACTTTTGGCTCAGACTTAACAGGAATTTGAGAACACTGTGTCCATCGGGCTGAGGTCAGGCATGGTTCATTTTTCTATTCACCCAACAACGGGGCCTCGCTTTCTGCTTTGCGCATTTAAAACACTTTCCCCTCTGCCTAATCTCATGACCCTCCAAGACTGTTTAGATTCTTGCCTACTCGGGGGGGAAACTAGGCCACTTGGAAACACTGACAAAACTGACTCGGTATTTTCGTGGCCTTTTTAATCAACAAAAAAGTCTTTTTCTCTCTTTCTCTTTCCCACTATCTGCTCACTTCTATTCTTACCCTCACTCTCTCATCCACCTGAAATGTAGTGTGATGACCCAAGGGCACAACGAGCCAGATGATTTAATTACGACATTATGTGCTGCTTAAGAAAAATGTCCTTTGAAGTCTAACCACAGGTTATGTGGAAGAGTAAGCATCTTGAAAAGTATGTGTCTTGGTGTGTTTTTCTGTGCGAGTATGTATGTTCCTGTATATAACGGACTCTGCAAAAGTCAGAGATGACCCTTCATTTAATTACCAGTCAAAACAGCCATTAACTAAGTCATTATTAAGTTATTCATTTTTCAGCATCAATGAAAAAAGCAAAAAATACATTTAGCACACAATTACACAGAAGCCTCAACAACTAAGTATAATAGAAAAATGGTCAGTAGTTAATGTGTCCATCTTTTATCTTTATTACAGCTTCCATTTTTTTTAGGTGACTTGCCTTCAGTTTTTCAAAGAAACCTGCAGGGATATTTTTTCACACCTCCAAAGTTCAGTCTCAGAAGTTGGTTGTATTTTCTGCTTCTCACGATTCAAGTAATCCCAAACACATTCAGTAATGTGGAGGTCTGAACCCCCGGGGTGGTCAGTCCATTATTCTGAGACCAATTCAGACACGGAGAGAACTTGCAAACTCCACACCGAAAACACCCTATTCACCCAACCAGGGAATCGAACCCAGGCCCTTCAGAGGGAAGTGGAAAAATGATGTTGAGGACTGGGTTCTGGGGCGGTCAGTTCTGAGAACACCAGTATCTTCTTTTTTATCTTCTTTATAGTGTTGTTAAAAGATCTTTTCCCAATCAAACGCTTTTCCAGAGGGTATCACTTGAATTGTTGTATAATAACATTAAAATGTTGTTATACCTCCCTTAATATCAAAGTTCAAAGAATCTTTCATCGCCTCAGCAGCGTATGTACTGCCTTCTCTTATTTCCAAAGATTATAAAAACTTATCAGTTCATAGAATCTTACTCGACATCTCAGATGTCCAGTTTCAATCTTCTAGTGCACATTTATTTTTTTCATCTATATCCTTTTCTCAGTAACAGTTTCTTGACAGCTACACATCTTTTCAGACCCCTAGCACTGAGTTGTCTTCTCACAGTATAAGAATGGACAGGCACACTTGTGGCTTTTTTCAGATTTTATGCAGTAGCGGAGCTTGATTTTCTCCTGTCTCTCAAAGATGAAAACTGGTCTACCTGGTCTTGCTTAGTTGTTAGTTACGTTAATGGTGAGTTTAGATCTCCAGTTTTGGAAACCTGAAACTTTGTTTCACTTGTTCTCCTTTGACCTTCCCCTTCCTAATGGAAGTGGATTATCTTATATCTAATCTCCTTGGAAATTTCTCCTGGGAAATAAACCTCATATTTTAGGGCCGTTTTAATTGGAAATGACATAAACCAAGAGTGGTCTCTGACTTTTGCATAGTACTGAATGTGGTGGGTACGGTTTTGTCTGGGTGTGTGTGAGTGTGAGAAAAAGCCAGTGGGAGGGTGGGGGACAGGCTTGACAGGGAGACAGTTGATGAGATATAATTAGAGTGTGGAGTTCAGCCACACAGCACGATAAACATCCAAGCTCTCAGTAATAGCGCCCAAACTGCCATCTCCTCTCCACGCACTTAAAAACTCTATCCCATATCCATCTCTTCTTCTTCTTTTGGTCTCTGGCCCCACCATCCAACGGAAGGTGCTCTTCGGTTTGTATTCTCTTGTAATACTCAGTGTTCTCTCCTTTCAGTTCTTCCCTCCATTTTTTTCTGGTGTTTTATCCAGCGTCCATCATACCAGCTCTACTGTTCCCCAGAACAGAGCAGCATTGGTGCAGGAGCTTGCATGCCTATTTGTGTGTGTTTGTGTGTGTGGGTGTACGTGAGTGTGTGCATGTGTGCCGGTGACCTTCCTCCCTGACCGTAAACAGTGTTTCATTGAGCTGACAGTGAACAGAGCCTGGTGGAGCTCCTCCTCTCCATAGCAGCCCACGTTAGGCCTGTAGTAGAACAGCTAGTTCCCCTTTCTACCCACCTCAATGCAAAAAAAGCACTACCCCAGGACCATGTTCCTACCTTCCTCCCTCCATACCTCCCTCCCCTACATTCCAGACCAGTAGCGGGTAATATCGCCTGCCACCAGGGTCATGCAGTCAACTTACTGAGATTAGCAATCAAGAGGGAAGTGGGCCCCCAAAGATGCTTAGTATTCCTCAAATAGCGATCACAACTATGTAATATCATCCTTTTCTATCATTACAAAAAACATGGAATCTAGATTGAAGGAAACAAAAAAGGAAAACAGTATTCTTCTGCCTGTGTCATACCGTCAAAAGAATGTCAGTGTAAGTATAGGATATACTTGGTATAAGTATGGGGTGTACTTGGGTATACTTGGCAGCCAGCCTCCAGATGCAGAAAATAAGTCCTTTGTGGTCACTATGTGCAATTCAAGGCTCGACAAGGCTGACCACCTCATTTCTTACTGCTGTGAATGAAATCAATGCCACCATTTTTAATTCTTGAAGACTTTAATGCTGTCATATCCACCTTGTGAATTTTCCTTTTTCTATTTATTTTTTACACTGCTTTGAATTACCAGTGGCCCTTCACATTGTGCGAGTGTTTCATGATGAATGAACTGAAATAAGCAGTACATTAAAGATAAGTACTTGTTTATCATTTCAGCATTAAAAAGTTTTGTAATGACATTGACGATTTACTCCCTAATCCCAGAGAATCTCCTCCAGCCCTAGGTCAGGGCTCAGGACATGAGTGAGGACCATTTCAAGGGAGTTTTCTCAGTTCAGAAAATATGACTCACAGTGCAACGATGCTGCGCTCTCCACCCCAACCTCCAGGACTGTTCCTTCCCTTCTTCTCTCTGTCCCTCTCTCTCTCTCCCTCACTCTTTCTTGAGGGTGGCACCTCAAGCCTGCATGAAAACATGAGATTTATGAGCTGAATTCAACATTTGCTTCATAAAATAGCATGTAGAAGAATTATGAACATTGGCATATTTCTTTGAACTGGCACTGAACTGGATATTTTTGGGGCCGCACCCCTTGTTTAGGTGGAATGTCCTTATCACCCAGCACCACACCAAGGACACCACACCTCATGAGTCCAGAAGCAGGGAAAAATGAGGCTTGAAGCCTAAAGCGGACCATCATCTATGGGAGTGGCAAGCCAAACGCCTCCTTGGTGAGAAATATGTTGCTGGGCTCAGCATCCTCACTGCTTACCATCACAAACAACACACACCCTCTTTCACACAGAACCACAACAACATGAGGCTTGGCAAGTCGCTCCAAAGTCTGGGAAAACTCTGCACAGTGAGCAATGTTTTTTTCGGTTGCAATACTTCCAATGACTCAAGCTCCTGAAGCCAGAGCCAGAGGTACACAAACATACAACTCGTTGGTCAAATCGACCTTCACCATAATCCAGGGCTGATCAAACAGCAAGGCTCCCACGGGCGTGATGGCCACGCTGTGACAAGACCAGACAGAGCGGCATCCAAGGATCATTTGTTTTCCTTGATGAAAATGATGCATTTCAAACGACTTAAAAAATCCCTGGGGAATCACATTCTTCAACCACCCACTGCTGGAAAGGCTGTGAAATGCATATTCAAATGCTGCTAATGGACCTGCTAATTCATTCCATTAGGCAACACAGTTATATTGTTCCAACACTTTCATCATGCCAGTGTCTGGACTGAGAAAGAGAGTGGGCGAGAGAGAAAGAGAGACACAGAAACAGACCCTTATACAGGAGTGCAGTGACAGCCAAATCACAAAAGAACCATTCATTCAGGCCTGAGCTCCACAGCTGGTTCTAATATATAGTTGGGAGGAGCTGAGGAGAGGGAGAGAGTGACAGAGAGAGAAAGAGAGAGCGCTACTGCCTGAACGCTCATGTAATGGTCGCATGAGAAGTCCCATTCTTTCTCTGATACACTAAAAAAGTTTGACAGTGTTATGAAGTGAAGAGTAGTCTGACCCCACCCCCAACTCCATGCATGGAATCTCCAGGAACAAGTAAATGACATCTATCACATGTGCAATATTTCTGTTTATTTGTAGTGAATTGAAAGTGCTTAAAGACCAAGACTGAAAATCCTTTTGTAAAGATATATCACAGATTTTAATGCAAATAATGCTTCCTACATGAAAGAAAAATACAATAACTCATTAATATCACGGTAATTCTTTTAAAAAAATGCTCTTCAAAGATCCTGTAGTAAAGGCAAAGGCTCCATATAGAAGCATTAACACTCAAAGAACTATCTGAATGCATATATGGTTCTTTGTATGGTCACATGGTTCTCTTTAATAAACCAGTTGTATATGTTTTTTTTAAAGAGCCCTTTTAAATGGTTAAATATGGCAGTGTTATAATAATATATAATATAATAATAGCAGCTCCACTATTACTGAAAGGCTTTTAATTTTTTTTGCACATAATATTCTTTTTCAGTACTATATGGAAGGACAAAGGAGACTTTTGTCTCCTGCAGCTCCTGAGCAAAAGATCCCACTAATTTCACGTGTCTCCTCTTGAGTTTTAGTAGAGATTTCAATAAAGTGTCACATTGTACTTAGATCTGTACAATGTGTGATTAGGCAATAATGCTCATCTTTATCTGCAACTGAACTTTCGTCTCTCCTTTATCTCTCCTGTATTTCATGTCTCTTATGCTATTTCTTCTAAGGAATGTTAGGAGAATCGCCATTAAGTCTCCTGAGCCATTAAAAAATAACTTTTGAGCAAAAAAAAAAAATCCTCTGAGTTGGCATAGGCTAATGCGGCCTGACAAAAAGACTGGCATTCTAACTCAAAGAAAACAGTTGCAACAAGAAGGCAATGGCCACCTTCCTGTCCTCTATGGACACTTTTAGACTGTCCAGCGTATACCCAAACGAGGACTTCCTCCAAATGATAAAGTCCATTATAGTAACTGAGCAACGGCTCATTACAAACAAGTACATTTGGGTACAGGTCAGAAAGAGTTACAGGAAAGGGAGCTGCAGCTCCCTAAGGACCCAGGAACGAGTCGCTCACTTCCTCCTAACCTAGACTAGGAGAGGCCAAGATCAGGAGAAAGAGATACAGTAGCTGTAAAGAGAGAACGAGAGGCAAGGAATGGGAGAGGAGTAGGGAAGAAGAAACTTTGAAAGCATGGGGGGGTGGGGAATGAGTGGCAATGTGTGAGGAAAGGAAGATGAAGGAGGAGAGGGAAGAAAAAGACAAAGTGGTAAATGCTAATGGAAACTAGAACAAAAATACCTCTAGCAGGGAAGCAGAGCTCCGGCCTGCTTTCAGCTTAAGAGTGCTCCCAGCGTGAGCCACTGCAAATACCAACAACTTTACATTTCGAAGCCTACTTTGGCCATATGCTGCAAAGTAAGCACAGAGAGCCTTGATGAGGCTTTAAACGAGCTTAACTGAAGCTCAGGACTAAGGGGTGAATAATGCTGTAATCACAATGGCCCTCTCTGCATAGATTAAACAGGCTCCTCCTAAGAGATTGCAATCATTTTCTATGCATTCCTTCAACCGGCCATGGAAAAACAGACGTCTGGGAGATTACAGAGACAGAGTCCGGGCCAGAACAGAACGTTTAAGAAGCTTCCTGAAGGTTTTAGGTCTTTGTTATTACGTGTAGTTGTGCATTAAACTTTCCTTTTGCTATCTTTTGTTGGTGGAATTCAAGTAGATTTCAAAGTCAGTGTTTCATCGATCCAACCAATGAACTAGGCTCTCTGAAATGAGAACAGATACAAGTAAACAAATGGAATTCAATATGATTAGCATAGCCAGAAGGAAGCTTGGAGTTCTTGGAATCGCTTTCTGTTGGTGGTCCTCAGAAAAAGAGTTGTTGACATTCAGCGAAGGAAACTATAAAAATCTTTACTTCTTACAGAACACAATTTGGCACCACAGCTCTTTTCAGAACGTGTCTATATGGGATTGGTTTGTTGAAGTCAAACATCACATGACAAGCCTGACAAATCCTCTCAGAATGATGCAGAGTCTTGAGCTGAGGGCTGCAAAGCCACAATGACCAATGCTGAAAGCCTCCCTCCATGAAGTCAGCGTGGCCTTCACTCACAAATGCATTAGGGCTGCTTTTTACATCAGGGAGTGGTATGGAGAAAAAGACACAGCATGGTGGGCTACAGCCAAAGCTCAGAGGCCGAGGAGGGGCTTCACCCTGCTCACGTTACCGCGGGGACGAGAGCAGAAGAAAACACACGCCGCCCTCCTATTGGCCACTGTGCTGACCTCCGACAGGAAACGGCCTATGGGTGGGGCGACAGGAATTACTAAAGCAACCAAAAAGAAAAAAGAGAATTAAAGCATAATTCCTATGAGAGTGAGGGGTGGAATGAAGGGTGGTGAAAAGCTGCATGGAAGAGAGAACGTTCAGAGAGATGGGCCAAGACAAAGAGCAGAACAACTTTGTGAGCTGCAAAAATGTGTGTGAAATTTTAGTGCAAAAGGTTCTGTTTAAGGCAAGAGGGGAGACTTAGGTTGAGTGACCGCACACCGAGTGGTAATGTAAACAAAAGGGGGTTGGGGGGTCAGGGAGGTGTCATGGAAAGAGTAGAGGCAGATTCAGTTAAAATCCAAGATAAGCAGTTTTTACTTGGCAGTTGAGGCCCATATAGGCTAACAGACTAATACCAAACTCTGTTTATCAGTACCGACGTTTTATTCCAATAAACATAAGCAGCATCTGTTATTACGCACTCCCCTCATTAATGCCTTCGTTAAACGCTTCCAGATTAGAGGAGTGTAGCAGCCAGCAGCACAGGCCCTTTACACATGCCCTGCACATGGAAGAGACACACCTTCACTCAGGAGACTCATGCTTGCAACAGTTCCATCCTCTCTTTTAGACTAATGTCTTAAAGGGCTTAGGTGAGTGTTTACTGAGGATAATGCCTTCCCGCATTCTGGTCCAGCAAATGGCAAAACAAGGCACATAAGTAGTGTAAACACGTACTTAAAAGATGCATCCCGTGTTTCTTAAGCCAGACCCTATTAAAATTGTTGTTTCCCATCATTTATAATCTTGCGTAGTACAATCTCTCTGATAGCTTTAGTATTTAGAAACTAAAGCTCCTCTGCAGCTTCTCTGGGCTTAAATATAGTCCAATGGAGCAATTGCTTAATCCTTCAAAAAGCCAGATTAATCTCATTTTCAAAATGGCAAACTCAGAGTGTAGTCACGTGTCCTTAGATGTTCCAAGCTTTCTGTCAGGTTTTCTATCAGGTTTTATTCTATTAGCATTAGCATTTCTATGAATCCAGTCTCTTGGCCACATCTGTGCTGGAAATTACTCAAAACATTCTAAATGAATATAAAATATACTAAAGACACATGACTGGACTGTAGGGTTGGGCAATATGACAATATTTATCATGATAAATTGCATCACAATATGAGCATACTGTGGATATCACCAGTGCTTTAATAACACTGACCAGTGCATGTTTCATTACAAACAGAGCATCATCAGACCTGCTCAACTGGATTTAGTGCAGCACAGTATGTGAAACATTTATTGAAAATCACTGTATTCATAGTTTGTCATATTTTTTTTAAAAATGTGGTTGTTTTTTGTCAGTTCCAACATATCAGACGTCCCAAAAAATAACTATCGTGACATATCATGTATTATGAACATGTCTTGAAGTATTACATTTTCGTCATATTGCCCACCTCTACTATACCATGAATGAGAGTTACCTGGCTTTTTGAAGCACTGTGAGAAGCTGTAACTGTGTGCACAATCACAAATGATGAGATAATTAGGAATAATGAGAAAGCTCCCCCTTTCTTTATGACCTAAATAACTTGTACGTATGTTATTCAACACCTCTTTGCGATGGTGATGGTGGTGGAAGAATCATGAACTTAGTGTCCTCTTTAGTGACATGGTCTGTGAGAAAATGCTGAATAAACAGAAAGGTGAGCTCCTTGATTAGATCTGATCTGGCATGCTGGCTTACCTGCTTTCACTATAGGGCAGATTAAGGTATCGTGGGCAAACAAGTAGTAGGGGACACTTTAAGAAGCTCTTGTACATTCCAATTTTAGCTGATTCCTGCTAGTATATTCTTTCTAAATGAGCAAAAGTAAATACTGTCAGTGGCTTAATTAAACTGTAAAAATATTTTAGTGGGAAACTGAACAAAAGGACAATTGTCATACCTGTCCTGTTATCTAAAACACAGTCTGGTATTGCCTTATATCCCATTATACTTGAATCCACTCTATTTCTGGTTGACAAAAGACTGAGAGCACTAATGACTATAAGTGCCTTTTCCTTTTGTTGTAATGTGCTACAAAGTGATGGTTCTGAATCCGGATGCAGAAGCCCTGTATTTTCACTATTGTAAAATCAAGGGCGTAACTAGGATAACTAGGATATGGGCCCTAGTACAAAAATGTATGCCCCCCTTAAAAAACTGATTTTCAATTATTTAAAAAAATGACAATGTTGCTTGTTTACTCACTATTATGCTTCAAACAAGTTGATGCAAAGAAAGCATGCTAATGCACCCACTAGCATCTACTATTAAACTACATGTTCACACTAGACTACCTATTTAAGATTTTAAAAAGATAATTAATGAATATCATGTTGGAGGTGTGTGAAGGATCTGTCTGAAAACAGTTACCATGGATAAGGTGCGTTATGAATGACAGATTGATAAATAGACATCAGATCTGTCTGTTCAGTGTTGATGGAAGTTAAGTGGTTGTGTTGGCTGTCTATATTAATTGTGTTGGTATCTATATGACTGGCCCAACGATTTTAGGGTGTCTGACTTCTGTGGGCCTCCTGCGCCATGGGCTCCAGTGCGATTGCCACCTTGCCCCTCAGTTATTACTGCACTGTCTAACACTTAGAGCTTGTTAATTAGCTGATGAGTTGAATTGCGAGTTTTTGGCGCAGAGCAGGGGCTCTCCAGCATCAAGACTGAGAAACTCTGCTCTAACTGGTCTCTGAGACATCGCCTGACAGAGACTGACGTGTCTTCAGGTTAAAATAAATGTTAAGGTCTTTCCGTTCGTGCGGCTGTTCCATTTTAACTGCATGCTCCATCCTAGAAACGGCGTTTACAGCTCCACATTCCCGCGCGCGCGCCAAACGCTGCTATCCGGAATGCGCACGCACGCGAGAGACAAGCGCGCCACCGACCGCGAGCGGTTTCGGCGGAGTGACGTCACAGCATCAGCACCTGTACAGTCTATTTCTGTACTGAACGTTTCTGTAATTCAAAAAAAGAACCGCGGCACTAAACACTTGAATGCCCTTTAAAGGGGAACTCCACCCATTTTCCAAACTTCCTGCATGATTAAATGGTTAAGATATAAACAAAGTCGTTCAGACTGGTTTGCTGTTAAGTGCTCCATTATAGCGAAACTTACTGAGTCAGAATTGTGCATTGGAGCCAGACGTCCACCTCTGAAATCTCCCTCACACAAGGTTACAACATGAAATGGTTGTTTGGGTCCAAAACTATTTTAATCGATGTATTTTAATCCATTCTTGGTGGAGGTATTCATGAAGGACGTTCTAAGGCAATAAACAGTCCACAAAGAAAACTTATAAAACTGACCATTATTTTACCATCATCAACAATGACTGGTGGTTTTGGATAGGCTAGTAAATAAACTGGCTATATTTGCGCTGTAGACATTGGGAGAGTCCGGTCACAACCACACTGTAAAGAAATCACTCTGAATGACTGTTTATGTTTATGTCTGAATGACTGTTTATGTTTATGTCATAACCACTGAATTAGGGAGATATTTTGAAAAATCGGTGGGATTCCCTTTAAAGTCAAAACAGGACCGAACAGGATGCTGATAGTTTGACCCCGGGTGTCAGTGTGAGGGACATGTGTTTTAAATTAGTTGAATAAACCAGAGACATGCACTTTCTCCGCTTTGTGTGGTTGATCTGAAGCGATATAACAGAAGTTTAGGGCTTAAAAAGGCTAGTCAAAAATAATGGGTGACTAGCAGCCTAACAGCAGGAGCAACTGTCTCAACAGTGCCTCAGTAAAAACAAGCCAACGGGGCTAAAGCCACATTTCAGTCACTCTGCTGACCACTGCAGAGTGGATCTGAAAGCGAGGCCGCAGCATGATGAACATCTGGAAGTAATGAAAAGTCCGCGAAAGCGCGGTCCCACCCTCTCCCCTGAGCCCAGCATTCACGAACTGGACCTCAAAACTCCCCAACTCCAAATCCGAGCACTGTAAAAACCTCCAAAACAGGTTTCTTTGCGAAACCGTGAGTCAAATTCACAGAACGAGAGTTACTGTTTATTTCCCTCAAATGAGCGTCAACCATGCTGAGCTACGACATCCTTTTTAATCAGTAAACGGTGTGGAAAAGCGGTTTTCCTCCACTCGTCTTTACTTTCCGATGCAGAAACGCTGAAGTGAGTGTGTGTGAGCGGTGTGAAGGAACACAGGCGCCACATCCACACGGCTTTGTGTGCGCTTTCCTTTAAGATGCTCTTCAAACCGCCTCTCCGCTCACCACAAAACTGACATATTAGCATTTAGCACATTTCAAACAGCCTCTAGTTAACCGACACAACAAAAACGCTCAAAGTCACCAGAGACGACGCTTCTCAGCTCGGCGTCCCGTTACTTAATTGGAAAGTCGGGCAAAAACCCCCAACAGCACAAAGAGAGGAGCATCTCAGACGGCGAGGACGAGAGAGCAGAGAACAGCCCTGCATATCTGCGCGTGTCCGGGTACATGTCTGAGAAAATTAATTCAATTAAAAATATTAAAAAATGAAGGTGCTCACCTACCCCCTCGCTGTCCCCTCAGACGTGTAAGGCCAGCAGTCTCACTGACAGCGAGACAAAAACACTGCAGCCCAGTCCTGAGCCCCCTCCCTCTGCTCTTAAAGAGCCCACAGCAGCACGCTCACCACCCCACATCTACATACAAACCTCAGCTTATTTTATTATCCAACATCAGCACTAAAATTCAATGTCGCAATCACAACAAATAACCTAACTTTTATTAGAGAGAAGACATTTTATTAGCCCTTAATTAAATACTACATTTTTTTCATGTATCGGTTAATGTTACTTAATTGGACACCTCCATCTCTCTCGGATGTGTAGAGGTGCCGAGCTGCTGTGTGGATCTCTGGGCTCCAACTCGTCCTCGTTTTTATGAATATGGGCTACTCGGAACATTACGTCAGTTTTTCCTCACAGAAACGCGGCCAGGCTGCCATTACTGTAACCTACAACAGCCCACTGCGCCTCTGAGGGGGGATTAGCCACAGCCCGCTACGCTCATTAACTATTAAAATAAGGGCACAGGAGCATCTCGAACAAAGCCAAGCGAAGTCGCCTGTGTTCCTGAGTTAACCTCTCCTGGTTCAGCCTCGCGCTTGTGTTTTTGAACCGCTGCTAAACGCGGAGAAGCTGCGCCAACGCGGACAAGGACACAGACACGAATCACGTGTGAAATATCAGAAAAAACCGGCAGCGGGGACCAAACCAACATGGCGGGCTGACGGTGATGTCTCTCCGAGCTCTGGTCTGTGAGCCGGACAGACCTGCTATTCCTCAACATTTCTCTTTAGATAGCGTTTTGCCTCTTTCCTTTGATAGTACATCTTCTTTATCGGGCTCATTAGCAGCAGTAGCGATAAAGACCGCTTAAATTCTGTTATTAGTGGAACGAAATCAGTTTTAACTTCATTCTTAGGGAAAAAAAGGTTCTCTGACATCAAATAAAGATGGTATGACTTAAAATAGCACCTTTTTGTGATATACAATTAAAAAGGTTCTTTAAAGGACCATACATAAACAAGTTTTCCATAACATCATCTACACACTTACAAAAAAGATGGCTCTTCAAGGGTTCTTTAGCCAAGGCAACGGTTGTTTAGAACCATTTCATGCATGGTGAAATGGTTCTTCAGACTGAGTGTGCATGTGTTGTATATGGTTCTATGTAGAACCATTTTGAAAATGGTTCTATATAGCACTAACAATGTTCTCTGATTATGATGTCAGGTTTCTAACAATAGAACCTTTTGGTGCTTTATAGAACCTTTTTGTTTACATAAGTCTGAAGAAAAATTTCACCATGCAAAGAACCATTTAAGCATGAAGTGATTCTATATAGAACTTATGTTTCTAAACAGAACAATTAACTTTACTAAAGAACTCTTGAAGAACCATCTTTAAGCGTGTACATTACTGCTGTCAGAACAAAACCTCATATCTCCTAAATGATAACTTTACAGTAGAAGAACAAAAATATACTTTACCTTTAATGTAAGTCAATGGAACCAGACTTTTTTCCAAGTCATTTGGAGCCATTTCCTTTCATCAGGTTATTATGAAATTTACACACAATGTAAAGGACAACACATTTTCAAATTATGTCAAAAACTGAAAAACGACAAAAATGGAAATATGAGGTTTTGTTCTGACAGCAGCGATATGTAACCATTGCGTTCCCAAAAACCCCTTGAAGAACTTAGTTTTTAAAAGGTGTACAATAGAAAAGTAAACAATCTAAACTTGGGCATCAAAATAAAAAAAATGACAAAATCTAGCTGCTACTTTAATGCTATGCCTGTTAATTGTGAAGACAATTGTACCGACAAAAGCATTTGTATAGCACCATATATCAAACCTTTGCCAAGTTCAAATATAGTTGTTTCCACATTTACACAAATAATAACTAAAGAATAAAAACATTAAGAAAAAAAATCATTTATCTACATCTTTCATCTTTTGCTTTCCATCCTGTCACACTAACTTATTTAGCCATTAAAAAACTACTGTACTGTTATATTAAGTGATATCAACAGTAAATTACGTCATTTATGCCTTCAGAGGAGCAGAGTTCGAAATCTGGTAAATTTAGTTTTTATTAAATTTACTGAATATTGTTTTCTTCATCTTCGGAAGAGGGCGTCACACGAGAATGTCCACCCCATCACACAAAACAGAGAAAACAGTTGTAATATTACTGTTTTTTTTTGGTTTTTTTTGCAAAATTCACAGAAAAGTCATGTAATTTACTGTTGAAAAACTGAGAAAGCGATTCCTTCGTAACAGGCAGCAAAGCAGTCAGATTTGCACAAAATATTCCACCCCATCTCATTCCTCTCCGTCAACAGATCACTATGATGAGTTTGTACTTTTCTGTTTTATTTGGCACAAAAAAGTCATATAGTTACTTACAGTTTCCATGGAAAATCTGTTTTTTTTCCTGTACTGTTCTTGTGCACAGTGTTCCACTGAAAGAACTGAGGACAAAAAATTGTGATTTCTTGACATGAAAAAAACATCAAACTGTCACGTCCATTTGGAATCATTCTTGTGGAATAACTTGCTTAGGTATTAAAAATCTTCTTAGTTCTGGTAATAAAACACTTAACCAGTGTAAAGATTAAGAATCAAGTTTAATACAAACAGTAAAAAAGAAATATACACAAATAAATAAAAGTTTGGTTATTGACAGTACAGTTTTAGGTCAGTATTTTGCACAGTATTTGGAGCTGAGAAAACAGTAGACATCACATGGACATTAGAATGTGCAAGACAGCAGATACAATAGTGTCCATTATAGTAGTTATGTGAATATAAGACTAGCAGTAGTTTCATTCCAGGACAGTGCAGAAGAACTAGATACGTCACCCTGTATTTTTTCACCATTGTCAAGTTCCCCTTGTGTCCAGTTATAAAATAGATTGCTTTACTACAGTATAGACTAGTGGGCTACATTTCACCTCTGTGCATTCAATAAGAAACACATTAACAAGTGATTGAGTGAGTGCAGATCTAAGAACAAGTGGCAGTCTCAATTCCCTACAGTGCAGTGGTAGTGTGCTTTGTCAGTGCTGTTACTACACTTGTGCAGTTTTAACCTTCTATATGCCCCACAATCCGCAGCTTTCCTTGTGTTCTGTACCCATCGGCATTACGAGTTTAGTGATTGCTGTGGGAATGTCATGACCGATGGCTTGAGCCAAGCTTCTCAGGGCTCAGGGAGGAGAGCATCACGTTTTCAGCAGTTATCATAGTCACTCCCTGAGCCAATGGGGAAAACTAATGTGTCTAAACATTTCACAGAGTATAAATATTTTTGGGACATGGTAGCGAAACATAAAGGCTTTGGTCAGCTCTTCTGGCTGGGCTCAGAATGGCAGTGAGAAGGATTCACTAGACTTAAAGTGCTGAATTACTCAACACTGCAGAGCTCTCGATGGCAAAAACATTACACCAGTACACTCACACAGTTTTACTCACTCTCTCTCCCCACTCCTGCGCATGCGTGCACACACACACACACACACACACACACACACACAAAAAAAAAAGCACACAACAAGCACAAAAGGAGGAAGTGCAGTGGACTATTTGGATTCCCATGTCGGGCAAAAAATCTAAAATTACCTCCAGCCTGTAAGGAGTTCTCGTTTTTGGAGCTTTTCCCCTACAGAGTCTGCCTGAGCAGCTTTCACTGCCCAGCCTCAGGAGAGACGAGGAGACCATGTTTATGCCACAGATAACCCTTCTGAGTAAACACGTGGTTCCTCACACAGCACAGGGAGAGCAGGGCAGAGGGGGAGCAGGCCCAGGAAGGTCATGCACGGTGTAGGAGAAGGCAGTTTGGTGCCTGGGCACGGGGTTCGTGCCTGGCCCTGCATTGGACGTCGGTGCTCTTTAGCAGTCAGTCCGGCGAAAGCTGGACCTGCTGAGAGAATTCCTGCAGAATGGGAAGAGATGGAGAAACAGGGTCGGATTTCAGCGGATCTGACTGGAAAGCTGAGAGTGTTTGTTCAGGGCGAGTGAAGGGGCTGATTGTGAGGCAGGTGATGCCGGGATTGCTGGCCCTGATTAGGACAGCCGCAGCCAGCCAACTCTCACAGGAGGGATGCAGCTGGCTGGAGAAAAGAGCTCAAAATACAATAAATAAACGTGCCGACACTTTCAAATAAATGAGAATATTTTATCAGCTGCATGTGTGCAAGGACAGGGGTGTTTATCTAAGAGTTTGCGTGGACAAATGAATAGTGTTCGCAAATACATGTGTTTTTATGCATGTTAGCATACACTTGGGGGGGACAATTGTCACAATAGATACATAGCCTAAATTGAGGACTCCTACACTATGTGTTACTGATACTAGTGATATAGCATTGTCACTGTAAGCTAAAAGAGAGTGGCTTCATGAATAAAGATGTGCCACACACAGTGAAGAAAAACAATTGCTCTGTCAGTGTGCAGCAGTCCCCGGCTAGCCTAACAGCTAACCCCTTACTTTTTACATCTGTAAACAATACACGATTACTGTCTACCTATGCTATAAAACATCCACATTTGAAGAGCAAGTCTGTCAGAAAATGTCTGCGACCTAAAGCAGATCACTCTGTTAACTTATGTGAGAATGTACTTCAGCCTATTGTCGCCTTTGTTCAGCTTATAAAGTAAAAAAACTCATTCAGAATGGCGAGGTGAAATATAAATATTCACAAACTGACACAGATGTTTTGTTTCAATATACAGACCTACTGTAGCCCCAGTACTGTTTGCTTTATTTGGTGGAACTGCTTTTTTTGTTGTTGGCAATGTCACATTCCTCTGTGTGTTTGGTCGCCATCATGCATAAATTTTCCCCCTCTGGGAGTAAAGGTGTGGTAAATACCCGAAGAGCGCTAAACACTTTAAGAGGGTTGCGGATCAAAATGTTTGATAATTGTGTAGAACTACTGTCTGCTGTTTCTAAATGTATCTTGGTGTTTTACTCTGAGGAGTTTTAGTGAACTGTTTGAATCATGAACAACACAAGTCTGCTTAAATATTGATGTTTTATGCCCTAAATTTTTTACACACTGACCTGCCCTGCCATTTTATATTCAGCTATTTGTAACACCTATTTGCTACACTAATCATTCATTGACTTATTTATTTTATAGTTCTTCCTATTTTCTGTAAATATAATTATTGCAACATGCAGATTAGCATATTTCAGTCACAAAACCTGACACTGTAAAGGGTAAAAAGCTGATATACTGAGCACATTTCAGAAAAACGTAATTATGCTTGTTTTTTTTTTTAATAATGATTAAGTCTTTGTTATTATAATACTATGCTAACTGTAACTGCAGGTGTACTTTGTTCAGGTACTTTTACGTTCAAATTCCTCCCGACAATGGAGCCCCCGCACTTGTCAGACCAAGTTTGCACCCCTGCATGTGTGTGTGTTTTAAGCTTTTTCTTTAGGCCCAATTATTGCCAGTATACACACATGTACACTTCAGGTTTTTACACACCAACAACCACGTATATACTAGGTCACAAGTTTAGGCTTATTTTCTTTGAAATTGAAAAGTGAAGAAGAAATGGTCAAATGTTTTTCCATTAAGTCACAATTTTGACATATGCATCAAGTATATATTCATAGCTATGGAATATTTAGACTACATGACAAAGAAGGAATGAAATATAAGCTAGTTGTAATTGTGGCTTGTAGCCATCACTAACAAAGCTTCCCAGTTCTAGGTAGGCTAATATCCAGAATTACTGGCAAAAATAGCACTGGGACATAAGTAATGGATTCCTCAAGGCCAAAGCCAAGCTATCTGACACTGTCAAGTACAGTATGAGAAGGTTTCTTGTAATAATCAGTGTGCTGTCTGGCAAAAATCACCTCATTTTATTGTTACCCACAAATATGCACTGCCTAATAATTTTGCTGATAGAATCTCATTTATTTTGTAGCCTTTGGCCTATATGCTATTTTAGGAAGGGTTACAAAGGCAATGCATTGCAGCATTTGCAAACACAGTCTTAGTGGGCTGTTGGGAGAACCTGCCAAAGCAAGCAAAGTTCTATTTAAACCCTGCAGACCTACTGTAGCCGCAGTACTGTTTGCTTTATTTGGTGGAACTGCTTTTTTAGAGAATCATTTATTTTTAAAACTGAGGACTCCTACATTACGTGTTACTGATACTAGTGATATAGCATTGTCACTGTAAGCTAAAAGAGAGTGGCTTCATGAATAAAGATGTGCCACACACAGTGAAGAAAAACAATTGCTCTGTCAGTGTGTAGCAGTCCTTGGCTAGCCTAACTGCTAACCCCTTACATTTCACATCTGTAAACAATACACGATTACTGTCTACCTATGCTATAAAACATCCACATTTGAAGAGCAAGTCTGTCAGAAAATGTCTGCGACCTAAAGCAGATCACTCTGTTAACTTATGTGAGAATGTACTTCAGCCTATTGTCGCCTTTGTTCAGCTTATAAAGTAGAAAAACTCATTCAGATGTTTTGTTTCAATATACAGACCTACTGTAGCCCCAGTACTGTTTGCTTTATTTGGTGGAACTGCTTTTTTTAGAGAATCATTTATTTAGATTTGGAAATAAATTAATTACTTTGTTATCACAGTAAGTATATATAGTATTTTTAATCCAACATGTTTTTTTTTACTTTTTATTAGCTATGAAGGAAACAAGAATAACAGACGGATATGATCAAATCCCATCAATAAAACAAGAGAGCGCATATCCAGCCATTCTTGCGAGGACAGTACAGTGCAGACTGTGGGCAGTGTTACCTTTGTGTAGGTGTGGGAGTCAGTGGCTGTAGTGTTCTGTACAGCTGGGGGATCTTGCGGTTAATTAGAGGGGACAGAGCCTCTTTCAGTTTACTGTAGTTCCTCTCCAGCTCGCGATGGTACTCCTTTTGGTCCGGCCCAATCAGAGCTTTGTTCTTCCTCAGAGCATCTTCACATCTACCATAAGACAAACACGGTTTAGGAGATAAGGACATGCACATACACTGTGTGAGAGTCTGTGTGCCTGTATGTCAGTCTCCTCACCTCTTTGTGAAGTCCTTAAAGCAGAGACGTAGTTTATTGTGATGCCGGAAGAGCTTTGGATCCTCTGGGATTTCGGACAAGAAGACCTGGGCTACCTCTAGAGGACCCTGAAAACAACAACAATCTTAATTCCCACAAGTTCACACATGCGTAAAATTACACTCCACAAAAACACTTGGTGATAAAAGCTCACCTGGTTGACGGTCGTACCCACACATCCCTGCAGCACCATCTGCAGCATCTTGGAGTCAGCAGGATCCTGGTGGGTGGCGAAGGCCAACTCCTGAGTCTTCTTTTGCATGTCCTCAATAGCTACTTCAATTGGAACGAGGATTATCTGACAGATGAGAGAGATCAAGTTTCATGAAACGTCTCTGTCTAGGTTCCCTTTATCACATTGAAGCGGCACAATTTTTTTGCCCTAATGTGACCCAGATCTGATGTTTTCAGAGCTGTGTGGACAAATAAAAAGGGTCTTTTCAAATCAGATCTGAGGCACTTTCATATGTAGTCATAGCTTGGATACATATCAGATTTGTGGCCAACGACATTGATGAGAACAGTCAGATTGGAATGCATGTGTTTTTTTCTATCATTCAGTGTTAATGTGGAAGACGCGCCTAAAATAACGCGATAAAATAAACCAATCAAACTACTCTTTAAAATTTCTCTTTTAAAGAGTAGATGCAAAATAAAAATGTGGTGCAAATAGCGAACTAACTAATAACTACGTGAACTGGAAATGCAGAGAGCTGCACACAATGGGAGAAGAGTCTTTTATACTTTTGCCAAGCTATGATCACGGAGGCCAATCAGTCCTACTAATTGACTCCGCCCTGTGAAAGAAAAACAGAAGAATGGAAAATACAATGGGGCCAAGCAGGACTGTAACACAACACACACAGAAACAGACACACACACAACATTTGTCTTACATTACTAGTGAGGACTTCCATTGATTTCTACTGATTTTAGTATTACTGTAGCCAAATAATACTATACCTACACCTAAACCTAACTTCAACGTCAGTATCCAAAAGACAGTTATTCTGCTATGTTAGTTTTTGAAAAAATGTAATTTGTGGTTAAAACAACACATGCTCAAATGATGAAAATGTCCTCACTTAAGCAAAAATGTCTTGTTGCAAGACAAGCACACACACACACACACACACACACACAATTTTATTTGGGAATTTAACTGTATTTAAATGAGAAGGGTGTGTGAATCTGGCATGGCCAGCAAAGCAGAACATTTCTACAGTCAAGTTTTCAATTTTTACTGGAGAAAAAGTCACAGAAGTGTATTTTCATAAAAGAAAAAACTGCTGGCTATTCATGCTGTTGGCTATTCATCCTGTTTAGTGGGATTTTCATGACCTGTATGAACACTTGCATCCCGGTAAAATATCATTTAGGGGCTGCATGTGTGAATGATGCAAAGCCCAAGTATTACCGGTAAAAGAATCTCGATAATGTTTCAGGTTTTGAGTGTGAAAGGGGCTTCATAGACAAAAAGGTGTCAGTACCTCCTCCTTCTGGATAACATTGATGCGGGTCTTGATGTAAGGGAATGCGTGGGAGGTGGTCAGGATGGTTTTGCGTTTGTACTGCTCGTGCAGATCTCCGTGTGCGCGGCCGTCCAGCGTGAATGGTGTGCAGTACATGAATGTGCGCAGGTTGTAGTTCTTGTCAAAGTAAGTGATTCGTTCCTTTAGCTCATATGTGTCAAAGAAGGGCTCCACATATGTGATCTGAAGATATGCCTGGGTGCCGGCACACAAAGAAAAAACTTTTAATGCTTAAAACATGCGTAGCTACAAGAATGTTATGAATCAAGCAAGAACTGTAGAAATAGATATGGATTATTTTAAGGACCTTGTTTGGGTCCAGCTTGTTCTTGTCCACAGGGTTGGAGTCCTTGATGATCTCCACAACTTCGTCACCAAAGCGTTCTGAATAAAACTCCTAATCACAATCAGGGAAGAAGTGTATAGACAAACTTTAGGACGTTCTTTTGCAACAAAGTTTATGACTAAGTACTTGTGACAATTTGTAAACAATTAGAGCTTATCATGCACTGTAATTCTTGTAATCATGACTGCACAGAGGAGGGAGACATGCCTCCAGCCTGTGTGAAATCTCAGCCAGCTTGGTAATAGAGGGCTCCTTATACACAAACTCCTGCTCGTCTAGATCCCCGAAGCGACAACCGTAAAAACCCACGCGGAAGTAGGTCCCAAACATCCTCTGTTCCCTGCAGGAGGGAGGGAGAAAAGAGATGGAGACAAAAGGTGAGATGAGGAGAACACACCATCAGCCCAAACAAACATGACATTAGCAGCCACTTGAGGGATGATCACTGAGTGCATGTTTTTCTGTGTTAGCTGGCAGGCCTAGATTGAATTTTGACTCCTGCCACTCTTGTGAAACGCTCTTACATAAGTGTGCGAGAGAAACAGAGTCAAAGGGAATAGTCTGGTGTTGTGATAGAAGTTCATGTCCTCATACTCACCAGAGACACATCCAGCCAGGACAGACACGAGGGAGAAAATGGAGATAATGAACAAGACAGAGGGAGAGAGTGAGTGAAAAAAGATCAGACATATGGCACTGATAAGTATACAGTATGATAAATGCAGCAGAATATCATCATATATGTGCTTTTGGAGTCATACCTCCCATCCTGAGCTCTGCAGACAGAACCAGACCAGCATATAATTGCAGCAGCAGAGAGAAAAAAAGGATAAGACACAGATCAAAAAGCTGGAATCAAACTCCATCAATAAACTCTGACAATTACAAGCATAAAATCCCCGTAAAATTACAAAAGAAGAATGCATTTTTGTAGCAGCACCTAGAATTATGCAAACAAGATCATGCTAACTGATTTGAACCCTTCACTTTACTGTAATGACAAGAAAAAAACGTCATGACATTGCCATAGGAATTAAAGGGACTATGTCCTACATTTTTCCCCTCTTATGATGTTTACAAGGGTTTAGGTGCTGAAAACAGTTGTAATTAATTTTCAGATTTTATCATATAATACATAATACAGCCAATTAGAAAAAAGCTCATTACATATTACAACACAAAAGTAACAAAAATAGCCTGTTTAATTTTAAAGGATAAAGGGAGGTTAGACAATGGAAATGTACAGTGAATTATGTGGATGTGAATTATGAGCCCTGTGACCGGAAGGTTGCCGGTTCGATCCCCTCGGCTGACAGTCCATGACTGAAGTGCCCTTGATCAAGGCACCCAACCCCCAGCTCCCTGGGAGCCGTGGATAGGGCTGCCCACCGCTCCGGGCAAGTGTGCTCACTGCCCCCTAGCGCGTGTGTTCACTAGTGTGCATGTATGTGGGTGTTTCACTGCACGGATGGGTTAAATGCGGAGGTCTAATTCCACAGTGTGCAAAACACAGTTGGCTGATGGTTCTGAATTCAATTCTGAATTCAGTGTCTGTTTTTGGAACATAAAAACACATTCATATTATAAGCAGACATTAGGGGAAATGATCAAATTCAAGATAAATGTAGGATATGGGCCAGAAAAAATAAATTTATATAAAACAAACACACGTCCTTAGAGCTTCATGGCAGTCAGCATAAAAGCCACAATATAACAGGGCGGCACAGTAGTTTTTCACGATAAGCTTGTTCATCTTTGTCCAATTTTCCAACTTGCCTCACAAGCTGTTACATTATCAGCATTACTCTGACATGACATAAAAATGCACACAAAGCCTACAAAATCAGTATTTTTGTGTCACAATGTGCTGTGTCATATTAACCTGGAAAATAGCCCAACATAACCTTTTTTCAGCAACCAGTTCGAATTAACCTTTATGAATGTTTATGTAGATCTAAGTCAGCTGTCAAAGTGCTTATAAAAGTGTCATGTAACTGCACATTTGAATGAAATGTCCCTTTAAGATTGTGCTTACTCCCTGCAGGCCTCCTACAGAGTTCCAGTCATGTGTAAACACGGAACAGACCTGGTTGTAGACTTTGTTGAAGGCATCCTGTAGCTTTCCATGGACGGAAGCCAGCTTCTTGAAGTCCCTGTTGGCCTCATGGATGGGGCAAAGGATCTTATAGACCTCATTTATAGCTTCATACATTGCAGCCTGGAGTACAGACAATCAGTCAAACACTCACTTATGTAAGAGGGACTATTTCTCTTCTATTGGTTAATGATAACCAGCCTTTGAATTCTTTTTCTATGTAGACTTCTGCTCTCACCATGTTAAAGGAGGCAGCTGCTTGTTCCAGCAGCCCCACCAGCCCAGCCTCACTGAAGTACTTCCCTGCACAGATGCCCTCTTCTTCCGGGGAGAGGATGTCATCAGACACAGCTGACTCCTCCAGCACGTTAGATGAGATGCTCTACACCAAACACAGAAGAAACACAGGTTGACTACTAGGGCTAGAACCAACAGTTGAAACTGATTATGAAAAAAAATTCCAATGTGGATTTTCACTGTTGATGCATCATTTCAACAGTGCTCTATAATTTTCATATGATACATGCTTCCAGGCAGATTGTAAAAATGCTACAGTAAAGATTGAGAACAAAATGGTTTCTATTTCACAGCACCATAAAAGAAGAAACAGAGCTTTCAGTGAAGTAGATATGTAAACTCATGATCAGTGAAAAAGGTGAGAAGTTCAGAAACCAAGCCCCTGTAGCGGGGCCTGGCGGCATGGTTCGTGCTACTCAAGGGAGAAATCCAAATATATATCTTAGTTCTGGCTATATCTGTGGGTTGGCTGAATAATGATCGTGAACTGCTGCTGTGATGAGTTTTGGAAATGGGGGGATTAATGTGCTGGCAGCAGACCCAACACCAACACAACACCCCCACCCCCCCTAAAATCTAAGCAATCTACACAATTCTTCAAATCAACACAATTTATGTGAATGACATATTCATAATTTAAAATAGCAACTATTACCGAAAGACAAGTTTATGTTTATATGTTGATGGCAGCGAAGGAAAAAAAAACGAAGAAAGCAGAAAAGTTAGATAGTCGAGTATCAATAAAAATTATAATAGTGGCGATAATAAATAGTATAGTCAATAGTTATCATTAGTTGAAGCCAGCAGATCTTTACAATAGGGCTGCCCAAAGTATGAAGGTCAGAAAGTTATTCTAACCCCACCCTGCCAATTACTGAGAGAACAAAAACATTAATATTCTATAATATTAGATTACAACATAATGTTATTAAATACATTTTTAAAAGCAAGTTTGAAACTTAACTACTCTCTTTATGTGTATATTGGTTTGTTTTTTGGCCCTCAGCCCACCACAAACACTGTATCTCCACCAAGACAAAGTTTGGGCATCCCTGGTTTACAACTCATGTAACTATATACAAACCACACATCCAGAAAGCTCCTGTACCTGGAATGAGACACAGCCAATGGGGAGGTAGCGGCAGTCTTCCAGCATGTTAAGGTACTCAGCAACTAGGGCAGCGCTGTGTACCAGGCAGTGGGCTGCCTCAGCATGGTTTCCCCTCTCTGAGTGCTTCCCAGCCATGTTCTGCAGCCAGGTCAGACGCAGGTCCGGAGAGTTCTGATAGCCCTTAGCAATTCTACAGCATGGAGAAGTAGAAGAGCAAAATAAAAATTTTAGCCTGTCAAGAACTGACATGATGATGTACTAATGTCCAGATTGATCACCTGTACATGAGGTCTAGCAGCATCTCAGGGTCCTGTTGATGCTCCTTCATCTTCACTGTGTCTGTCAGAATCATGTGGAGGTTGAACACCAGATCCTGAACCTACTCAAGACACAGCAAAAAAGGGAATGAAGCCTTGGAACTACTAACTCTGCAAGGTAATACTGAACTGGGAGCACTGTGTGTTTATTTGCATGGGAGAGACCTGCTCAGGGAAGGGTGAGTCTCTGAGCTCCAGGTCTTCCTCAGCATAGGTGAGAATGGTCTTGAGCGAGCGGCGCAGATGTTCCTCGTTAAAGTTCTGGGAGGTGCCCACAAGAGATGACAGGGACATAGTGACCTGCATCTTCACTCGCGCAAAGTTCTGCAGGATTAAATCAAACACACTTTTACGGTCTACACAGCAAAACCCTAACTTTAATTTCTCATACTTTTACAATCTATCAGGACATCTGAATAGAAACTATCTGGAAATATTTTTCCAAACGTAATAATAATAATAATAATAATAATAATAATAATGTTATTCATTATTATTATTATCTCTCAAAGTAGACAGTTCTTGGCCACGTTTAGGGACCAAATGCACAAGACACTCTGGTGATAGGCAGAAACCTGGCTTGAGAGACTAATACAGGTGTAGTATGGCTAAGCACCAGAGCATCAGAGAATCTAAGTGAAAGGAAAGTAGGTAGGAAGACGCAAGATCATAGCATTCTGTGCTTTCATGTGATGAGTAGTCTGAGTTGAATAAGGGCTGTTACATATAGACAGTGTAAGTAGAGAAAAAAGAACAGGAATAGTAAAAAGTAGTTGGGCTGATGAATTTTGAATGTATTGCAGTTTGCTGAACAATCTGGCAGAAAGACCAGAAAATAATAAATTGCAGTATTACAGATGAGAAGTTAGGAAAGCATGAACAAGAATTTCTGCATCAAGAAAGTTGAGAGAGAAGGAAAGGTTGCAAAAGATGAAGACTATTGCATCAGTTATGGAAGTGTCTGGAACAAGAGCATAGGGTCAAAAGTAACTCCAAGGTTACAAGCTGCATTTGCAGCGACAACTGTATAGTAATAAAGCAAAACAGAAATGGGAGCTGAAATAGTATGAGGTGATCTTTTTGCTTCTGTAGTAAAAATATATTAGAAACAAGCTTGATTGTGTCTCACATTGCCAATCTCGTAGTTCTGTCTCATGAGAAGGTAGAGAGAGGCGCTAGCATGACTGCGCACGGAGCCGACGCTGCTGCTGCAGTGGCGCAGTAAACGCAGACACAGATCAGCACACAACTCTGTGTCCTCCTCAAACAGCATCTCTGGGAACTGTGCACAAACACATGGATTAATGTTTTAAAGAAGAACTTTTCAGAGCAGACAATTGAAAGACACACACTCATAAACCACAAACTAGGGGTGGACAATATGAGCAAAATTTTTTGTAATCGTGATAACAATGACAATTATGTCACAATAGGTTTTTGTGAGCCTATCATGGATATCATCAGTACAGAATACTGACCAACCTTATGGCTTATAACAAAGAGAACACAGTTTTGTTAAAATGGATTTAAAGTAGCACAGCATGTAAAACACTGAACATTACAGTGTTTATGTGGCACTACTCTTTTTTTTATCTGTACCAACTTATCAAACTTATGTGATAACTTTTGTGATAATGTTCAGTCATTAATGGATCTTCCAAGCATCTTTATATTATATTCAGAAATATGGAAATTGTAGGCTGATTAGTCATGCACCAATCCTACTTTCTCTCCCCCGATATCTGAACTCAGGATCTTGGCCAGAACCAATTTGATATCTTTTTTTTCTTAAATTTAAAGTATGTATACTTCAGCTAATATGGTGTTATAACTGTAGAGTTCATTCCAAAACTTTATATTTATTTTAAGAGATGTTGTTAAGTATTTTTAAATGAGGCACATTAGACAAGCAATTCACATTCAACCACATTCTTCTCATTTATTGTTAACTATCACCTTATTATGTCAAAATGACCCAAAATCTGAATTTTACTTTTCTTAGCCTTCATTAAATTGAAGCACAACAGAATTAGAAAAGCCCTCCTGCAGTTTTACTCTGATGCACTTTCACGTTTTAAAAAGAGAGGCTTTTATTTTATTTTATACTCGGTCTATCTCCTTAAACAAGTTTATCTGTAATGCAATTGTCATTATAACTTGTTAGCGGAGCATTCATAAAGAAAACATCTGATGTGCATTATGTGTTGCAGTGACATACGTTGATTTTAGAGCAACTGTGTCAAAGGATCAGTGTCATTAGGGGACTGGTAATGTCTGGCAATACCTGATCCATTTAATAAGGTCAGTATTGGTGCCAATATCGATCCAGTATATCAGATTATATGCCTGTTAATGCTTATATATAAACAGAAAATGGAGAAAGTACGACTCACCTGGATTAAAATTACACAGAAATCTAACACTTATTTGTAGAGGGTTAGAGATGCAGGAAAACTGAATAAAATGCAGACGTTTTAGCATAATAATCTAGTGTTGCCTAACAGTAGCACAATAAATGTCATCAAATTTCAAATATTTAAATTATTACTCAAATCGTATTATCTGTCCAATGCTGAAATTTTTAAGCAAGTATCTGCCGAAGCTGATATGATTCCAATGTCACCGCGCATCGCTTATTACATTTTTGCCATATTGCCCACCTCTGCCTCAAACTATGCCAGACAAACTGTTTATTTGTTTAGGACACAAAAGTGCATTCACGGTGACTCAAATGTATCTATACCACTCAAGCTTTCTCTCTCTAAATAAGATAAACACACCTTGAAGACCAGAGCTCTCTGTGTGCTGAAGCAGTGTTGCAGAAAGAGGGCACTTTGGTTGCCAGCCATGCTGTGGAGCAGAACTCTTAACACCCCACCCAGCACACTCTCCTTAAGCTCCGACAGCACCACCGTCTAAGACACACACACACACACACACACACACACACACACACACACACACACACACAGATACATTCTCAGATGTGAACTCAATTTCATGTAGTGATTCAGAGGGTGGAAGAGAGCAACTATGAGCAAGAGAGAGAGAGACAGAGGACGAGGGGGAGGTTCCTTTACTTTGACAATGATTTCCAGAGTGTCCAAGACTATTAAGGAGGCTTCAGTCGCCAAATTTCCATCCACCACCGACTCCTGCTCCACCTCCGCTTTTGTCCTGCACATGCACACACACATACTGTTCACAGTGTACTACCCTGTGATTATGCAGTTCATTAAGTCAATGGCCAACTTGAGTCATATATAGGAATTCAGATGTGGATATGTAGCGAGAGAGAGAGAGAGAGAGGGAGAGAGAAAGATAGAGAGAGAGAGGAGGGTAGACAGACAGAGTGAAAGAGAACAAAAGAGCAAAACACAGCAAGAGAGTGTGAAAGAGAGAGCGTGAGAACAAAAGGGGAAAAGAGATAAAGTGAGCGCAAGAAAAAGATCCAGAGCAAAAATGATCAAGAGAGAAACCCACTTGTCCACTCTGTCTGTGTTCTGTCTCCAGTGCGTGACATTCTTCCTCCATCGCACATTCTCCTGGCTCCCATAAGGACTCCTTTCTGCAAATAGCATAGCTGTTCTGACCAGCTCAAAACAGTCATCTCACAAACACAAAGAAAGACACACTGACACACTATTCAGTTACCTCTACAGCGGCGGACCATCTCCTGTCGGGCTCCAATAGTACCCAGGATTGCCTCTTCCAGTCGGGCCTTCATGTCCTGAGACTTCTTAAAGGTCAGGCTGTTGATCCGTTCCAGAGCCTTCTTCCCCTGAACTCGCCAAACAGTCACAGCAGGCCACAACAAGGCACCAATCAGAAAAGACACAGGTGTAACATTGGTTATGAATAGAATTAGTCTTCCACTTCGTGTAGCCTGATACATCTTACTGATCTCTGCCATATTGATCATATTAACCCTGATTTACAACTGGTTGTCTCATGGGATTTGTATCTGGATTGTAAATTGATTGATTTTACCAAATGCATTTACACTTGGTCTACACTTGATTTTGTGTTGTGCACACCCCCCATCAGTTTTCGCTTGTAGCACAATCCATATTTTGGCTTCTTGATAACCTTAATGATCCTTCAGAGGATCTGGCAACGTTCAGAGGAAAAGATGTATGGCAAAACATGTTGGGTTTGGGGCATTAATGTTTACCAAAGGGTGTAACGATTATTGAAAAAAACAGCATTCATTTTTGTCACAGAAAACCAACTAAGACCCAGAAGTTCTAATACAGGCATGGCCCTGACTTCAGAATGACAACACGGCTTCAGAAGTCTATTCAAATGATGGATGCAGCCTCGAAAAAGGGCAACTTTGCATGCAGCAATTCATTTCCTCACACCAGCTTTGCACCAATGTTTACAAGAAGACAGCTGTTGACTGTTATTTAAAACAATTAAGCTCCTGATTAGTCATCATGCTCGTGGACCTAGTGCGTTGAAATGCAATGTACCATAGCATGGCAGTGAATAACACTGAGGTGAAGTATAGATTAACCAAACTGGCTTAAACTCAGAGGAGAAACTCATACCAAGAGCTGAACTGAAAGAGCTACAACGCCTCTGTTTAGTGGTGGCAGTTCAGCGGGCATTTCCGCCCCATATGGAAAACAGCAAAGGGAGGGTTTGTCACAGTACTGGGAGGAATTTAGTTTATTATTTGGTCTAATGTGTTTTGGACAGATGACTGCATTTACACTTGTATAACATCTGGCTGAAATGCATCTCAGAACACCTCCTAAAGAGGGTTAAGGGATCAGATTAAAATCCCTTTAAATGTGTCCTGAGTGCATTTACACCTGCATTTTTATGTGGATAATCTCTATCCAGATACTCACAATGTATTAAATGGCCAGGTGTGAATGGGGTCACAGAAGTCAAGTTGCAACTGCGACATAGCAGCAGTTTCCAACTTAATTCTTGGCAAAGTCCTGCCTTGCATGTTTTAGCATTTTCCCTGCTCTAACACACCCACTTTAACTCAGGAAGGGCTTGTTATGTTGCTGATTAGTCGAATCAGGTGTTGGATCAGCATGGAAAACAAAAAAATATCCAAGGCAAGGTTATTCCAGGGACAAGGCTAGGGCTGGGATTCACTAGAATATGGCACTGTGTCCACACTATGAAGCTCTTAGAAAGCACAGACAGGAGTGCATAGATCTTTATTTTTTCTCTAATATTTATTTATATTTTAATAAGAATATAATAAAACCTTCACAACTTCCAAAACGTACATACTGGAAGTTACTCAGAGTTACGAGATTTGGCTAATTCACAGCTTGGCACAGTGTTACGTACAGTGCATGGGTGCGGTACCTTGTACTCGAAGCAGGAGATGGCGAGGTGCAGCAGGTCGAGCAGGCGGTTAATGTGCAGCACGGAGAGCTCTGAGAGCCAGCGCTCCAGCAAGGCCGCGTCAGCGTTCTTTAGCACCCACAGCACACTCACCAGCAGAGTCCTGCTGCACTCAGCAGAGAGAGTGCTGCACTGACGACCCGCCTGAACAAACACACACCACAGACACCTTTCAGTGCGTTTTACATCTCACTGACACTAACTCAAAACACACAATTGCACAGTGCAGGCTTGTCTCTCCCTTGTCTGACCCTTGTGTTAAAACAGAGGCCCATTCTGGCAGTCATGCTCAAAGGATGTCCTCACACACCCACATAGATAACAAACACACAGACACACATGACCCTCATTTCCCCACCATATGCAAGTCATTAATACTGTAAAAACTTCAACAAAAGCCCCCTAGTGGAGAGCCTTCTTCCCCTGAACTCGCCAAACAGTCACAGCAGGCCACAACAAGGCACCAATCAGAAAAGACACAGGTGTAACATTGGTTATGAATAGAATTAGTCTTCCACTTCGTGTAGCCTGATACATCTTACTGATCTCTGCCATATTGATCATATTAACCCTGATTTACAACTGGTTGTCTCATGGGATTTGTATCTGGATTGTAAATTGATTGATTTTACCAAATGCATTTACACTTGGTCTACACTTGATTTTGTGTTGTGCACACCCCCCATCAGTTTTCGCTTGTAGCACTATCCATATTTTGGCTTCTTAATAACCTTAATGATCCTTCAGAGGATCTGGCAACGTTCAGAGGAAAAGATGTATGGCAAAACATGTTGGGTTTGGGGCATTAATGTTTACCAAAGGGTGTAACGATTATTGAAAAAAACAGCATTCATTTTTGTCACAGAAAACCAACCAACATGACCCTCATTTCCCCACCATATGCAAGTCATTAATACTGTAAAAACTTCAACAAAAGCCCCCTAGTGGAGAGCCATCAGTGAAAAATATTAGATTCCAGGGACAAGCCACCTAGTGACAGAGAGCAATACTGCAAGGGTGAAAAAATATTCAGGGACAAAAGATGTCTCTTCAAAACATTCTGGTGGTGAACCAGGGGAACTGCAGCTATGACCTCATTTTATTCGGAAAGGAACATTCTAGAAGGTACATCACGCAGCCTTGATATTCCTTACCCATGTCAACACCTCCCATCAAAAGTATTGCAAATGTAATATATACTCAGCTATGCATCATACGAAACAAAAATTTCCAGATAAACACCACAGAAAATATGTAAACTCCACAGCATTGAGATGCTCACCACTGAAGGCAGAGTGAATGGATTGACTTTAGAATGGGGCAGTGGGGAACCGGCTATTGCCATGGCAACAGATGGGTTGATGGTGCCGTTGTCTGGATCACCATCGTCGACAAGTGCAGAGGCGTGCCGCACGCGCTGGGGTGAGGTATCTGTAAGGAAAGTAAACAAACAACAAAATGATATAAATAAACAATAACAAAGGATGGGAAAGGCCGCCTCCTGTTCTGTCTAGAGCACAACCTGACCTTTAGAACAAAGACTATTCAAAAGAGGTTAAAAGAAGAGGTTAAAAATAGCTGGAAGTTACAATATGGAGGATGGACTATTTTGCCAGATTACCCGTAAAGTCATGGAGCTGAGAAAGCGTCTCCATGACGATGGGGATGAGCGGCAGGTAAAGCTGGGCGATGTGAGTGCGGACCTGGGGGTCGGTGTAGCGTAGGTCCGCATCATGACTGCACAGGAGAGAGTGCACTGCGCTGATGGCCTTCTTGTGCAAAAAGAAAACACTGGGGAAGAGAGCGGGAGCGAGTTAGGCTGAAGGGAGTTTGCACGCATGTTTTTATCTCTTTGTAGGGAAATTCCCCAGGATGATGGAAGGGGGGCATTGTGGGGACATTCTTTTTCTAAATAAAAATGCACCTTTTTTGGGAAAAAAAAAAGATTTAGGTCAAGGTTAGTTTTGCCTTACCATCTTTTAGCATCATTTGATTCCCCCACAGATAAAGACAGGAATATAAATTTGTCTGCGCAAGTGTGTGCATGCTCACCCCTCTCCATCCGGCTCTAGGATGAGCGCGAGCTCTGAAAGCAGCAAGCCAGACAGGAAGTGCTGCTGGCGAAAGGGTACAGATAACTCAAACATGGTGACAACACCCTGGTCCTGCATCGGACAAGAGAAGGCCGAACTCTGGAAAGAAAATTCAGTAAAGAATAGAATAACACAAGTGACTTGAATGTTACATCTTTAATGTCACTTTCATTTAAACATGTGACTGATCTAGTCTTGCTCCCTTTGCTTTTTTCTCTATTTGTTTCTGTTTGGTATCTTTCTTCCAGGCAGACAGTTTCCAGTTTTTGCTCACACATCATCACCAACACACATGGTATTTGTGCGGTATGTGAGGAAGAAGCATGGCAAAAGTTTAAGAGGATAAAAAAAAAGATGTGTGTGTGGGTGTGTGTGAATGAATGAATAGGAGGCTGCAATGTGCTTGGCCTCCACTATTTTAACAGGAATAATTTAGTTTCGCTGGATTTATGAATAACTCATCAGAACACCCACAAAAACACTGATTGGTTAAGATGCTCCCAGCACACAACAAACAACATTGTGACTGGTTAGAGGGCTCATTTGCAAATTGCAACCTTCTGAGATATAAATATTGCAAAGGCCAGTATCGTTATAACTATGGCATGACTGATATAATATCGGCTGATGTTACTAACCCACAGTAATATCTCTACTGGCCAATAATTGGTTGCAGCACCATCAGGATTCAAACTTGCGATACCTTGACTGCTGCACCACAGGGCCGTTCAATATGAGGCACTCTCCTTTCAACTATACTGTCAATGCAAAAGTTGTACACTGTTGATTTTGCAAGCGAAAATATTTACACAACCTCTACAGAGAACACACTGCTGCACATTTCAACACACAATTACTATTTATTTGCTGAATTGTGGGAAAAAATAAAACATAAAATGCAGCCAGTGGAAATGTTATGGTACATGTTATATTTTATTTTTTATTTCCTCACAATATGTTAAAACTAGAAAATAAATAGAAACTGTGCACAAAAATGAGCTTATAATATCATATTTAAGGTTCAACAAAAACTACACAAGCAATTTGAATGACTACGTTCAAACTTTTGCACACAACTGTATGACAACACAGGCTGAACAGGTGAATCTCAACACAAAACACCATTATGGTAAGTATAAAACATTTCATCTTTTTGCCTGAGAATAACAAATTACAACATAAAACTGTTTGATGAAGAGAATTAATGAATATTAAGTAAAAAAGAGGTGATAGAAGAGGTTATGTTATTTAAGAGTGATAATCGAGAACTCACAAATATATTTGCCTGTAAAGCACTGGAGTACAGAGTATATAGTATATGGATTATACTGTATTTACAGTAGTAAATAAAGTATAACATTAAAATATAAGTATAAATATAAAATTACATCAGCTGATATTTTCAGTTATCGGAATTTCAATCGGTATTGGCCACAAAATTTTGCTATTTGTTGGGCCCAAGTTATAATGACTAACAAACAATGTATTACGTAGTCCTAGTATAACCTACCTGTGAAGTGGTGGAGGAGGTAGAAGGTGAGGGAGAGGCAGGAGGGCTGAGAGTAGAGCATGGCAGATTGAGAGTTACATAATGCTCATGACTGCAGACTATACGTATGAAGTCCATCCTCAGAGCTGTGAGAGAGCTGGGGTTCTGTGCTGTGTGCAGCTTATTGGAGATCTGGACACATGCAGCAAAAAAAAACAATGGCACTGTAATTGCAAGTAAATGTCACTGAATTGTGCTGTATGTAAATACTGGGAATGCAAAAATGTCTGTGTTCACATCAGTGTGTTTACACATACCTGTTTATAGTAAGAGCGGATGAGGTTGAACACAAAGCCTCGGTCCATGAGAGAAAGCAGGTCATTGAGGAAGAAGGCCAGACTGCTGTTTAATCTCTCCACAAGCTCAACATCCTGAAACCCAGACACACAAACACACACACTGAGTGTTAACTGCTATACCTGTTCATTCAGCTGAGCCAATAAAACAGCTAGGGTTAGACATGCCTTAAACGAAACTGGAGAGTGGGGTCAGTCTTGAGAGCTAACTCTTATATAAAAGCTTTTACCTTGTGGTATCTGCTGGCTATGTCTGCACTGATGGCACACACCAGGGCTGCAATATCGTCCACAAAGCGATCAGGGAAACGCTGGCGTCTTGGGATGTCCAGCCGGGAGGTGAGGAACAGGTGATGGGCCATGCTCTTCGTCTGAGAGAGAGAGATTCACATGTTAAACATGTAAAATGAAGCTCAGGGAGGTGGAGAAAAGCAAAGCCCTGAGGTGAAGTTTAAACATGTACCTGGATAATTCTGTGTGTACTTAATAATAAACAAATAATACCAATAACCAACAATGTGATAACTGACGCTACCAATTTTTTTTTAACACTGTTAACTCATTTTCCTAGTTTGACACTTCCAACTAAACATCGTTGCTTTAGTTAGCCAGAATCAAACCTGTTCTGTGGTGAGCAGAGCTGTTGCCATGCTAGCTAAGCTAATGCCAACTCTCCTCTCTCCTGTTTAGCAGCACTGTTTAACGGCTTTTCAACTGTTAGACATCATTTATTCAATGATGCATCGAAAATGATGCACTGCGTTAACTTACTTGGTGACCACGTAAGCTGATTATTGTTTTAAACATTATTCGATTTTTAAATAAAATGCATAAATAAGACGTCAGTGATGAAAACTGGAAAATGTTCACAATATGGAAATCACAAGATTTTCAAGTTCAAGTGAAATTCCCAAAATGAAAATAATATCATTAAAAGTCATAAATACATTCTGATATAGCTGGCTTTTAAATGCTTTCTTAAGGGTAAATTTGAGAAAAGAAGACAAAAGAGATAAATTAAAATGTGATTAATCACTATTAATTATTGTTTGCCTGCCCTAAAATAAACCAATAACTTCTCACAAGACAAATGAAATCAAAAATGTATTTCACTGATAGCACCGATGTAGCGTTTTAACATCCACTACAAACAGGTAGTTACAGTTTATACCCAGATACCAATGTGACTGCAATCCTAAAGCAAGTTAATTATCTACAAAAGCAATAATACAGTGCTGCTCATTTGGCTGTCAACTCAATTCACATGCTGACTACTACAGATAACACTCCACTCGCTGGGCTATATTTCAAGCAGTGTTACATGGTAAGATGTGAAATGGGATTCATTTAATTAGTGACAAAACGATTTCACTGAGTAATCAGAATAACTATTAAACGCTGCCAGGGAACATAGATAACTCGAGGCAAACTACTGGCAGGACTCTAGTTCTCTACTGAGAGAGGAGATGATGATTTGTGAGTGTGAGACTTACCATGAGCTGGAAAAAGAACCAGGCCTGCTGCAGTGCTGCCTCTCTCACTGTGCTGGTGCTCACAACCCACTGCAGAGCCAGCTCCTCATGCAGTAACTAAGCACAGAGAGCAGATATTACCACACATCCAAAATATAGACACATGGTAACCAAATCCATTCACCCTCACACACAAACAAACTCAATTTATCTCAGGCAAGTCACACACATAAACACACAGGTACGCAGAGATGTGAAAAGAATGATGGCAAGATGAATCAGGGATGAAATAAAGTGGTGTGTATTTTACCTTCCTGGCGATGTGTCTGGAAGGTGGTGAGAGGAAGGAGGCGCTCTCGATGAAGGCCGACATGCGGTTAGCGCCCCGCTCGCTGGCCTGTTGCAGCGGCCATGGGCATGAGGATGAGGATGATGAGGGAGAAAATGAAAAAATGAGGAAGCATGCTCTGATGGAATCAAGGGCATTCGGACCCCTTAGAAACAAACTGAAAGGAAAAGAAAACTAAAAGAAAAGCTACCAACAAAAAGGAACCCCGGGGTTAAGAATACTACCGTTCTAAACCAGAACAGAAACTTCCCCATAAAGCCCCATGACTTGCTGCGAATCAGTTTCAAAAGTTAGTTATGAATATGATTATCAAGCACAGTAATATGTTTCTAACCATTCATGTTATCTTTCTGACAAGCAGCTAGGGCTGAATGATTTGGGGAAAATATCAAGTAGGAATTCTTCTGCAACTGATTTATATGCTTCAATGCTGAACACAGCGTGCCAGACACCCAGGTAGTTTGGTTCTGTTGACATGTATACAGCACATGGATGTTTGGTTGTTTCTGAATGGTTTAACTACTCTACAGGCAGTTCACAAGCTCCACATCATTAGGTTAAATATTCCCACCTTAAATTGTTAAGGTTGTTGTTGTTAATGTAAGCTATGAAATGAGAACTGTGCTGTTTCAAGTTGTGATTTCGATATAAAAACAATTAATCTTTCAGCCCTACAAGAAACCAGCATGAAGAAAGCTGTTACATGAAAAATTAGGCATTCAAAAAAAAAGAGCAAAGAACCAAAACCGAAAGAAGTAAGATGGATGGAGAGGTGATGGATGAAGAGTAAACTTGACCACACACAGATATTTACATGTATGTCTCACACGCCCCGCCACACAGCATGGGAGGAAAAGAGGAAAATGGGGAATTTGGAGAATTTGAAGAGTTAGTTTCCAAGACATGGATTAAGTCTCTTGAACTACACAATATTCTGAATGGAGATTCTCTACTGAAAGGAAAAGGTAGTCCTGGACTAAGCTTAATCCCTGTCCAGGAAACTGACGGATAAAGGTGTGATTTATAGAACACTATGGTCTGAAATCATGGTACAGGGTATAATTAAAAGGAAAATAGTTACCCAGCTCTAGTACACAGCATTAATACGAGAGCTGCAGACGATGTTTGGGTATTGGTTATTAATAGGAGAGTAGGGGTGATACTGGGGTATAGGGTATTAGTAGAAGAATGGGGTAATAGTGGGGTATAGGGTATTAATAGAAGAATGGGGTAATAGTGGGGTATAGGGTATTATAGGAGAGTATGAGTGAAACTGGGGTATAGGGTACTAATAGGACAACGGGGTAATACTTGGCAACGTTGCAAGAGAGTTGGAGATTATACTGGGGAACAGGGTATTAATAAGAGAGTTGGTGAGGACATTGTGATATAGGGTATTAATAGAAGAGTTGGGGATGACATTGGGCTATGGGGTATCAATAGAAAAGTAGGGGGTGATATTGGGTAATAGGGTATTAACATTGGGGTATAGGGTAAGATTCAGCACCTGCTTGAGCTCACAGCTGGAGTTGGGGTTCCGTCGGAGCACGGCTCTGGAGCCCCCAGGAGCATAAGCAGAGTTAACCCAGGAGTGAGAGCGGTCTATTCCCTGCTCATCCACCGGCGACACACGCAAACACAAACACACAGTGACACAGTAGGGTACGGTCAGCAGGGCACTGATAAGGAAGGGCGGGAGAAAGGCTGAAACTGGACAGATTGCTAGGGAGTAGTCTGGGAGGGGACATGGTCAGTAGGCAGGGAGGGGAGGGGAAAGAAATCGCTACAGTGGAGTACGGTAAAATCATCATCAGTAGAGTAGTGCGTGGTCCTGCACAGGAAGCAGCTCAACCACAGGCATGCACGTCTACCTCCAGCAGCCAGTGCAGGAAGAGCCTGCTCCTTTTATCCCATATAAACAGGAAAAGCAGCAGGAGGGCTAGAGCAGCAGAATGGCCCTCATACAGGAAAAGGCTATACAGCAAGAGCTTCTCACTGTATACAAAAAACCCATTATACTAATCTAAGCATTCCAAAAATACCCATGATGGGTAATGAAAAAGAGATTTGGGTGGTGGTGCCTTTGAACTGTCCATTACTAAAGGGCTCCATGGGAGAAGATGAAGGGAGGGACCCACCTTGCTGCCGATGATTCTCTGCACCTCCTCGTCTGGCGAGGCGGGCGTGGAAGCTAGATCGGGGTTGGAGTTGCTGATGCTCTTGGAGCGGGACAGGTGCAGACTGCTAGGGCGACCCGTTGCTCGGGATAATGTGGCATACTGGATGGGAAGCTCGTAGGAGGGTCCACCCACTGAGCAGTAACGGAGAGGTTAACAGCCACTCTCTCAAATAACAGGTTCATCACCTTTTCATATACTTTTACTTCCTACTCAGTTGATATTACTCCCGGCACCCTATGTATGTGACCTAAACTCTCCCATTCCGAGATTACAAAGTCAAGTAATGAACTTTCCCTGCCCCCACCAACTGGAACAAAGAATATTACTGGGAAATTTTAAGAAACTAGCACATTTTGATTTTTTGTCTGCTGTAACACATCCACACCAACTCAGGAAGGGCTTATCAATTGTTTGGTAAGTTAGATCAGGTGTGTTAGAGCAGGGAAAACACTGAAATGTGCAGGATGTAGGTACTCCAGGACTGGGCGTGGGAACCAGTGAGGTAAACCTATTTAAAATGTACAGTTTGATGGCTCACCAGTAGGGGGAGACGCAGGCTCTGTGGTGGGTAGACGGAAGCAGTAGTGGATGTAGGAGGCCAGCAGACTGTTGCGGCCGTGCTGGTCCTGATTCCCTTCTAGATTCTTATGGATCTGGTTGACTAGGAGAGCCATTGCTTCAAAGGCAGCCCGGCCCAAGTTGACTGCGATGGGACAGAGATAAGAAATAAATGTTTCAGGTATAAGAAAAGACGGGAACCATACACATTTGTTCCAAAAAGGTATTTCAAAAGCCAGCGTCAAGTTTGAGAAGATATGATATAATATAAATTCTTGTTAACTAAACACAAGTTCAGTTACAGTTTATTTTTTTGGTTTTATGCACTGACTGCAGTGTGCTGCACACAACTTGCTCTGTAAATGTCATTGCTATTCACAAAAAAACAAAACATCCATTTCTCCATTTTTTGGAATTTTTAGTTTTGTGCATAATTTGAGCCAGGCATGTCTTTTACACTGAGTGGAAATTTCATGATGACTGGACCAACAGAAATGCTCCAAATTGGCTTTGAATAAAATCTTTTTACATTAACTTACATTAAAAGCAAAGAATGAATTGAATGTGAGACAGTGGAAAAAGACTAAGAGGTACATACCAATCTGGCCAGCGATGACAGGGGGGTGGACGATAAGGAGGATAAGTTTGTTCAGCAGCTGGTGCAGGAAGCGTACACAGGTATCCAACAGCGCCCCTTTCAGGGCAGCCATGCTGGCCTTCAGTTCAGCCTCTACGTTGGCCTCAGTAATGATCACATCCTTCAGTCGGAACGGGAAGGAGTATTCCTCCAGCACATATACCAGAGTAAAGAACTTATCCAAGTGAGGATCCTACACACACATTAAATATATGTTAGGATGTTGCATGGAACTCAAAACTTTTGCTTAGCATGTTTGTGTGGCAGCTTGAATCGGTTACCTGAGTGTGAACAGAGGAGGCAGCCGTCACCTCTACATTGAACACTCCTTTGTGATTGTCCACCCACTTCATTCCTGGTAGCTGCACCTGAAACACATAATTTATACGCACACAGTCCAGAGAGAAAAATGTACATCTCCCAGTTCAATAAACAAATTAGATACCTGCAAACAATGCTAGCCAATCTTGCCTCTGTCTATGCGGAAATATCTGAAAAACTTAGGTTACGTCTCTGCGTTTTGGCCTGCCGTCCGCACAGAAACACTGATTCAGGAGTGGAGATTTTCAAAAAACCTCCTTTCCTAAACTTTCTGAAACTGCTTTTTTCAGTGCTTTCGTGTAGACAGGCAAAGTGTATATGTTCTTGAAAACATTGATATGGAAACTGCGTTCCTCCAGAACTGAATTTTGGCTGTTTGTGTATGCATGGCAATTTGGGGATGATAACAAGCCTATACCTGAATTTAGCTTTATCTTTTCCTGCGCTCAGTTCTTTTAAGTGGGCTGTCCACTCGATTGCAAATTTGTAAAAAATCCTTGATGATTCCAAAGATATGCAGGTTGATGATTATTAACCAAAGTCAGATTTAAAAAAAAAAAGCTAAAACTCATCTTCCTTGTCTGATCAGGACTTTGTCATAGCCATGAACAATCCCACAGGAGCAAAAGCTAGACTTATTTTCTGGCAGAAATCAGACTTCAGACAGAATCTGTCAAAGTCAAAGTCAAAGCTGCTGTTTTTAAACATTCCACCGACACTGTTAAAAATCACAATGGTCTTCTTAGGCTGTATGACATCAAACTGTATGAGGAATTATCACCTCCTATTTTGTTTTACAGCTGTTTTTGCATTCATGTGTGGATGGAGAGAGTTTCAAAAATGGTGCTGGTGTGGATGAAGAGTTTTTTTAAACGTAATTAAAATATTCAGATATGTGTGGTCAAAGCTTTAGTGCTTTTCCTAACACACAGCCTTGTTGATTAGCTGATCAGCTGGATCAGGTTTGTTAAAGAAATACTCCACACTTTTGACATAATCTCACAAAAATTTCTTTTCGTGATAAATGGTGGTATAATTCAGGTGAGGCAGATTGTGATTCTGTTGAAAAACACTAATCTAAAACATTGCTTTAAAGCAGGAAAAATGGCAAAATATGTATGGACCATGGTTGTGAACCAGTAGTCTTACATCAGGGGTGAGGACAGAGTAGCTGGGTGGAGGCTTCTCCACAGACACAGGCAGGCTGAAGGACCCCGTGCGCAGACGACCATGCTGCATCAGAGGAATCCACTGCAGAGAGCAACATAGGTTTCTGTTAGCCTTCCGTTGCTTAAGCACATCTATATCAGCACACTTCATTTACACATCTATACCACTCTCCATCATCTAGTGAACACAAATATACTTTCAAATAGCACAGAGAGAGAGTCTATGTTGCAGCAGAGGGCTGGCAAGAGAGTTTAGTGAATTCAGGGAGATAAGGGAAAGTAGCACTAGGCGGAAGGTCACAGGGAGAAAGGTGATTCAGGAAAGGGGGGTGCCTGAAGTGATATGGCTGCCCTAGGGAGGAGTGGAAGGGGCGTAAAAAGGGGGAGGCACTCACAGTGTAGCCCACAGGCGTCTCCAACGGTGTATTCTGCTTTGGCTGACAGCTGATGTGGTAGAAGGTGAAAAGCAGGTGGTGGTTGTCAGTCAGATTGGCAGGAATCTTCATCTTCACTTCCTCGTAGAACTCAGGAGACCTGGGAAAAGAGGGAGAGAAAAAGGGAGAGAGGGAGAGAGAAAGGGACACTGGTGTGTGAGAAATAATCAAATTCAGCTTATATATGATAAACTGCCTGCAGGTAAGGCCTCTTACTTGTCATGGTAGATGACTGGTGTATATGCCTCCTTGTAGAACTCTGCACAGCTGGATTTCCCAAAGATGACCTGATACAAAAGATAGAAAATACAGAGTTTGAGTACTACCTCTAAAATGACACTAGGTGGCAGCCAAGAGTTGAAACCATGGTGCCATTCAATCAAAAGGGTTTCAGACTACAAAAAAGTAAAAGATCTGTTCTAGATAACAGAACTATGCGCAGATGCAGATTAGTCTTGCATTACAAGATGCACATTACATTAAGTAATCCATTGGAAATGATTTCACAAACATTAAGTAATCCATTGGAAATGATTTCACAAACAATAACAGGACATAATATCATGATTTGTTAACATTTCAGCCATAATTCCATAATATTACTTAACAAAAGAGGCTAGAACAGGAAGATGCAAGAGGCTTTTCTGAATAGTAACAATAAATCTTCATATTTGACCAATGTTACCATATTATTATAATTTTGTACTCCAAAAGAGTAGAATGTTTAGGTGACGCTGGGCTACTGTACTAAAACGTCTGCATTTTATTTATTTGATGGATTTGTAACCCATGACAAATAAATGTTTTTTCTCTATAATGCTAATTCAGGTGGATCTAGTCCCAATTTCAACATTTTATAAACCTCTATATAACATATCTGGAGACATGTACATGAAAAATCAGATACAGACATTGGCCCATAATTCCCCTATCTGAGAATCCATGATTGAGACAACCTGAGACCTAAATATGGCCAGGCCTACTGAACCATTTTAGAGACATGCAGTTATTCTCTTGACAAAGGGATGGAAAAATTATTTTAGTGTAAAATGAGCTTACATAAATATACTCAATACAACATAAAACACTTAAGGTACTCTGGGTCACTGCGTATGTGTGTACTCACAGGCATAGCCTGGCTGGGGTCTTCTCCTGCCATGAACTGCACCTTCACTGCAATGTTGCGCACAGAGCCCTGCCTACTGCTGAAGTTTAGACTCTGAGGATACACGTACAGCAGGTTCCTATAAAGAGAACAACATCTATGAACTCACAAGCAAACAGTGGGGCTTATTGTAGGTCATGCAAGCACTGTCAACACCATAACAAAGTGTTTCCAAATTACCCCTTAACTGTCCAGCATTCTCTGCTCTAATACACACAGTTTAAACCAATGTAGGGTGTGGTTTTATATATATATATATATATATATATATATATATATATATATATATATATACACACACACACATACATACATACACACACACACACATTCAAATTGGGTATTCTAATAAAGTGTGTGTTGTGTGGGGAAAAAATGGATTTGTGTATTCTCGTTTGCTCTTTGAATTATGTTTTTAACCACATGACAGATTTGCTCGCTAATATTAACATACAGATAAGATTAATAAGTAGTGGTTCTAGATACGTCAAAGTGTTCCACAGACACTCAAGATACAAAGGTTCGAACAATTCTATGGTTTGAGAACACGTCATAAATCTGACGTAGACTTTTTCTTAGGACCTTTCTCAAGAACTAATTTAAGAAAAAACTTCAGAAGATGTTGGTGAATGAGGCTGAGTAGTCACTTTTACTGTTTTCATGTTTATTAGCATCATTTTTAATATATATGGTGTTATTTACAAGCACAACACACATTTTGCCCAGATAAATGGTTTTAAACAATTTGTTATATGCCTAAGACTTCTGCACGGGACTATAAAAATCTCAGTGAACGCTGGAAAATAAGCAGCTGATAGTGCATCTTACATTAAGTGAAATGGAGACATCCAAGCAGAGCTAGACATGTAAGTATTTATAAAAGAAAATACACCAAAATATTTTTACAGAGCAAGTAGTGAGACCCCAAGTTAGCACTATACTGAACAGGACGATTAGCTGGTAGTATGTACGATTAAATAAATCCAAAACTCAAAAGATAAATCATTAACTGTTTAGTGATGCTATGGAAAACGCAAGGAGTCTAATAAAATCTTCTTCGTTTTTCTTTTATTAAAGTGTTTCATGTATCCGTTCACTCCCCAGTCCAATAATGTAAATGTTCAAAAGAAATGTTTCAGCCTGGACTGATTTCTGAAAGAGTTATAATACAAGGCAGCCAACCAGAACTGAAGGCAATTACATGTACCAGTTTTAAAGGCATAGTAACAAAGAGGCTTATCATGTTAAAATGAATTAAGGCTGTTTTTGGTACGTAAAATCACACAAACATACGTCGACCAGAGGGAAAAGAGAACAGAAAAACGTAGGTTATCTGAAATGTTATTCATAAGGGATTGAGACATTTTTTTTGATGGTCACATCATGGACATGGCTGCACACAATATCGTAAAACTTTAGACAACACCTTCCATGTTTTCATTTGTTATTTGTAATATAAGAAATTGAGAACAGGATATTGAGTCAGGTGTACTGGAGCAAGGAAAACATTAAAATGTGCAGAGGTACTCCAGTATTAAAACTGGGAAATGGCATTAAAGAAAAATGAAAAAGAAAAATGATCAAATGGACCCTGAACAAGCCTAAACATCAAAGAACAGCTTGACACATATCCAATGGTGACGTCGACGTGTACAAGGGCATTAAACTGTGGATGTGCTATTTTGAGTAAGACCCAAAGGCAAGGCAGATGATGAAACAAGCATGAAAGAGCGTGACCTTAAAACTTTTAACTTTTGGCTTAATCAAACAGTGAACAGGTGATTGCAGCATGCATGCGCTCCCCTCTGTCTTTGTTCCCATCCACTTGAGAAATCCATACGAACTCTTTACAAAGATACAATAGCATGAACAACATTTTCTATAGGACTGAATTAAATATCTTGTTCATCACAGTAGATCATCTGTATGGAATGAATTCTATTGGGTGAATTAGGAACTTAAGTGAATAAGGCTAAGAAAGAATGTGGCATGAGCCTGACCAAGTGCAGGTTGGTATGTCCAAGCTTTGACCTTTTGCCTGCACTACATCACAAGGTCACACGCTTAGACAAACACATAATCTGCTACTGTGATTGGCCCTCAGCTCAGCTCAGCTCCACACTCACCACGGAGCATATAAGAGCTCCAGTGGGTCACCATAAGCCAGTTAGAGGCACACAGTGCTCCAGCTAAAAAAAAAAAAACAGGCAGAAAGCAAGGGAAGAAAGCCAAGATTCACTATACAAATGAGCACTGAATGAGTGCCCGTCTCAGATCTAAGACACCAGTTTTGCTTCCATCGTACTTCTACTGACAAGCCGAGTGACAGAATCTCAGTCAACCAAGAAGAGGTACACATTTTCCATCAACCCTTTGCAGTGACCCCAGGATGTGGGCCATTCTCTGCATCTGCGTTTGTGTATGGGCATGCGGGGTGTCCTCATCTCCGCTGAGAGTGCAGCGTGAGGCCAGGCTGGCCAAGGAGGACGAGGTGAACGTACTGATGTACGGCGTGCTGCAGTTCAGCGAGTCGCTGCACCACATGTACCAGAGCACTGCAGCTAAGCTGGCCCGAGTCACCCGTGCCATTAGCAACATAGAGAGTGTGGTGCAGCGCCTGGGCCGGGACACAGAGCAGGCTGCTCAAAGCGAGGGCCAGATTAAAGAGGGGCTCAGCCTCATCCAGGTGAGGACACGCCATCAAACACACATAAACACTTTGTGAGTCTGGGGTTGCAGCGAAGATCTCCAAGCAGAAAGGCCAGAAGTGTCCAATTCTGGTCCTGGAAGGCTGCAGTCTCGCACAGCTTGACTATTTCCTCTCATGTACTAAATTAGCAGTGCTCAATCCTGGAGATCTACTACCCCACAGAGTTCAGCTCCAACCCTAATAACAACAACATACCTGATTCATGTAATGAAGGCCTTCAGGGACATTTAAATATTACAGACAGGTTAGTTGGATCTGAACTTTCTAGGATGGTAGATCTCCAAGACCACTGAGCACCTCGTAAATAAACTGTGCCAGGCGCCAGATCACCAGGCATGACAGCTGCGAAAGGCAGCAGAAAGGTGATGCCCGGGGTTGGGTGCATGGCATATAAACCTACTGACGTGAATCAGGCAGCAAAACTGTGCTGAACCAAGGCCCTCTATGTCCAGAGCTGGACACCCCTGAGGTAGGCAGCTAGTAGAAACAGGGACATACTGGCTGTTTGACCAGTGTCTGAGCTATGATAAGCCTTTGGGAGGTCACATGGAGGCAAAAGAAAAAAAAAATCAATGTGCTAACGTGGACCTGGAACGTTGGAAGTGTTTTACAGGACTTCATCTAGCTATGAGCCAGAAAGACAATAACACTATACAACCACCATAGTTTTAACAGAATGGGGAAAAAATAAACATACAACACAGCTGCAGGCAGTATTAGACTGGGAGCAGCAGGAGGAGGGCAAAGAACTGAACAGCTGTTGTGTTTTGCAGGCCCAGACGGCAGCGCTACAGGCCCAGACTCAGCAGTACAGGGGACTGGTCAACAGAGTGGAGCTGGAAGATGCCGAGCTAAAGCAAAAGCTGATCAACCTGGAGGCAGACCTGACAAACTTCACCCCCGACAGAATCAGAGCACTGAAGGTGTGTAGCCACACCACCTCTTTGAGTCTCCTGTATTCAATGTACTGTTTTCAACAACAACGGTTGGCAGATATTTTATTAGGAGTCTTGCCCAAAGACTGTTATTGGCCTAGTCCTGACATGCTAAACATGTCTCTGCCTCTAGCAGCAAGAGCTCCTGCTAATTGGCCCTGCTAACCTTCATCTAGCCACACTATCAAAATGCTACCTGAACCCGTTGTTTCACTGTAAAGTTTCAGTTCAAATCGAAAGAAATCTCTCAATTATTCAAATATCTTCATGACAGGAGACAACCAAGAAGCACAACACCCTTCTAGATGACTTGATAAGCTGGACGCAGCAACAGAAACAGCAACTGGAAAGTCAAAACCAGCAGCTGGCAGAGTTACAGAAACAAACAAACGTGAGTGAGCTTTCATTCCGCTGTTCCACTCTATGGTTCACTAAAAGTACGTGTGTCATCAGTAACTGGCAAAACTGGTAACTCATGTCAATGCTTGCCTCTATTTTCAGTCTGTGTCGTAACACTTGACAGTGTTCTGGAACATCACGAGGACGTTTACCCACGAGGACAAGGCTCATCAACACTCCCATATACCTTCACAAAATCTACACGTGCTCTTTCAAAAACAGTACAATGTAAATAGATGTATCTTAACCTTTGTACTCATGTTAAAGATTTAGAGGCAGTCTTTGTGTCCGACTTTATGCACTGTATTTTTGGTTTCTAACTTATAATAAATTAAAACTTCTTTTTTACTGAATGGTGGTTTATTGTTTCATAAACTCTTTTTACATGTCACAAATAACAAAGAAGGGGAAACGCACCGACTGCAGTGTGGTATACAATGGAATGCAATACGTTGCAAAGCACAACATAGACTTAGTGTCCCCCTTATTGAAATCCAGTCCTGAAAGCACTATATCACATTTTGCAGCAGTTAACAATTCAATGTGTGCTGAAGCAGGAAAACCGCTACACTGGCTTGGGGCAAATTACATCTCAAGCCTAGCTCCAGTGACAAATGCAAATGTCTCGTTTTAACTTATGTAAGAGAATATATGTGGTATGTGATAAAGCTGTTTATTATTGCAATGGTGATATGAGATGTGATAATACAAAAATGAAAGAGTATGGTTTCCATACCCAAGTATGGACTACAAAAATAAATGGACTGTCTTTGAAATGTATTGTTATCTAAATCATTTCCACTAGCTTTTCAAGTTTATCCAACACCCAAAAAATAATTGCAATACTTTCCATGCCCAGTATGGATTTAATTAAATTCTGTCCTTTCTAGGTAGAAAAGAAAACACATATAATATCAATATCTGATACTTACTCCTCTCCAACATACAAATTAAAGTAATAACATAACTTATAAAACACTTACTATATAATAATATATTCCAATAACAGCAAACTGCACATTTAACTTTTTTCTTTGCAAACTACAAGGAAAAATAGTGGACACTCCCTTTTTAAAAATTTATAAAATTACATAACTTCCAGCTTTAGTGAAAAACTTAGTCATGCAAATATTGGGCTTAATATTATTTTATTAAACCTGCTTTCAATGGCAAATCTGCAGCAGAATCATACGAGAAAGCCAGGCTTAAAAAAAAGAAAAAAATGTTTCACAAGCACAACATCGATTCATGGCTGGTAAGAACTGTGATATTACTTTTTAATATTTGCTGATCTGAGGTGGTGGTCAAGGTCACCCATGCAGATCACAGAGTAATGTATTTACAGCACTAATGTCAACATTAATGCGCTAATAAGATAACACGATAAACTTAATTAATTTTTAATACATCCTAGACTGACTCTTCATAGTTCCAGCCTGAAGCCTGGCTGCTTGTGTGCGGTGTGTTGCTATGACTGACACCGTGACTGAAGTCCTCTCATTCGCATACAGCTTTTAAATGATCCACTGATGGCTCTTTTGATAAAACCAGTTGAGCCAGCTACTACCATTGTAAATTTGTTTATTATCATATATCAAGTCTGAAGTATTATTTACAAGCAAAGCACAGCGCTGATGTCAGTGTAATATCAGTAGCATTAACACTGGAAGATATCTTCAGCAAGCTTAAGCTGGACGGTGTGTGTGAGCTTTGCATAAAACAACGATGAGCAAACTAATAAAAGCAACAGTAAAGTGGAAAGCTACAGTTCCCCTAGAGATCCTTTACTGTAACAGGAATCCACAAGCTGCATAAACGCAAAACAGCTTCAACTGAAGAGGAGCTGGGACCACTGATTAAGTATATAATGTGTATGTTATATAAACACTTGGTAAACAGTGGTTGGAGCATGCAGCCACTGGACGTCACTGACGAAAATAGGAAACTGTTCACCCTACAGAATCACGTGATTTTCATGTTCACATTTATAAGAACTCTGAAAATTACAGAAATAATATTACTGAATTAAGGAAAGTAATAAATACATTCAGGCAAAGCTCATTTGTTCCTTTACATTGCTATAACAAAATGCACTGCTTTTTACACAGAACAAAATCTCTACGTAGGGAGAAATTTGAGTAAATAAAACTTTAATTAAATTAAATAATTCAATGAATCATGATTAATTATTTTAATCATTTGACAGCCCCATTTGTTTGTTATTTTCAGAGGTACCTAGGCTTATTTCTCTGCTCTATACCCATACACAAACTGTCTGACATTCTGCAGCAGTTTAGAAACATTTTTATTGTGGTAATTCATATCGCAACAATAAAAATACAAAAAAATGCTACACTGTGTAGTATTAGTGTATCTGCGTGTGTAGAGACTGACCTGTAAGCGGTGTGTGGGGTATAAACATAGCGTGCAGGAAACTCCAACACTTCCTTGGTGGGACGCACGCGCAAGTCAGGGTAGGGCTTGACATGGAGCAGTTCAGGAGACAGACAGTAGTGAGGAGCCTCAGGAGCAGGGGAAATATCAATCTTTAACTGAGCTGCAATATAAAGAAAGAGGAGAAGAAAGACAGAGAAACACCAACAGTATGTTACATTTCTCCTAAAAACCTAGTAGCTCACGCTAACTTGTGCCCCTACTGAATGAGTAGCGTGATGTTTACCTGTGACAGGTCTGAGACGGCGCAGCACAGATGACGGCCTCCTCATGTCAGCAAGAAACTTATATAGGTCCTCATCACTCAGCCTGTCTCCCTCCTACAGGACAACACAAACAATCACAACACAGTGTAACCTACATTCAATTTAAATTTTCAATTGGCATTGTCACTATTTTTTCAGTGACAGTTCCTGTAGATTTTTAAAAGTCATCATACATGGTATTACGCATTTTAAGCTCACAACTGTAAAATTAAGCTTTTTTGTGGAGCATACTTTGAGAAAACAAGAACATTTGAATGTAAAGCCCCATGATCAAAACATGTTATGAAAAGTGTGGCTTTGAAAGATTAGCCTCTTAATTACACAGTCTGTTAGGTAACTGATGCTGTTGACATCAGCAAATAATATAATTTTATTCCCATGTCACTTCTGTGAAATGAACAAAGGGAGGGAAGCTTTTTATACCAAGTTGGATTGGTTTCCAAGGCCTGATTACATATTACCAGTTGAGTCTTGTCATAAGCTTGTTTAGCTAGTACATGTGCTCCAAACGGAACATCACATGGAGCCAACAACTGGGCCATTCAGTTATGAGTGCAGGTTTAAACAGGAGTGGCTGCCCAACCCATTCCTGTTCTACGATACACAAGATCTACCCACTGTAGCTCTACAGAAAAGCCAACTGGCCTGTTTAAAGAAGTTCGTCACTGTGAGAGTGGCTGGACGGAAGTTGGTGAAGTTGCACATGTCTTCTCCCACACTCATCCTCTCAAATCCCTTCTTCTTTCTTTCATTCCATGTTCCCTTGCGCTCTGTGAGTGGAGGAGGGGGGGGGGTGATCACAGTGGCATGATATATATTAAAAAAAACTCAGATACAGAGTTGTAAGACAGAGCATGATGTGTATATACAGTAGGGGTGGGAATCTCTAGGCACCTCACGTTTCGATTCGATTACAATTCAGAGGGTTGCAATGTGATTATAAAACGATTAATGAAGCATCTTGATGCATCTTTTTTTTCTATACAGGATTTCTTTTTTCTCACTGAGTGAGGACTTTTAAAGCAAAGTATTTGTAATAGTCTATAATGAATTTACTTCCAATATCTTGTATTAATAAAATTAATGGAAGTGATGTGGCAAGTGAACTGCACGGCTCTCATTGACTGCTCTTGTTTGGAGCATGTGAGACGCAGGCTGCCACTCATCTGTGATAAAATGCGCAGTTACGGTAAAATACGGTGTGGCAATAGATGTCCATGCAGCACATGTTACGGCTGGTTTTCTTTTATCTATTTTTTTTATTTTGTAACTTCGGTTTTGGTCTCGTTGTGGGGGGGATCGCTGTGTCTGTAAAATATCTTCGAGATGGGACGCTAAATCTCAGCTCCAAAGTGTGCAAAATAGCACAAAAGCCCTGGTCCTGAGAACTGGCTTGCAGACTGCAGGTAACATAGCAATGCAGTCTCACCCAGCTGGTAGCTAATGAAAAGGCAAAGAGAGAAATTTAAGACAAATATTTGGAGACGAATAGACTTATTTGTATTTATAAGCAGCGCAGTTGGTTTCCTGGAACGTTAAACCTGCAACGAGAGTCACACACTAAAAAGTCAGCTTCTCTTTCGAATTCTCCTGGTCCACCTTAAATGGTGCCATATTTACATTCTGGCACCTCAGGCAGAATTTAAAATGGAGCAGAAAAATTTGAACAAGAAGCTGGCGAATAAGAAGCAACTTCAGCCCCGTAAAGCAGTCGAATGTTGAGAGACACTTTATAAGAAACTTTTCTACTTTTAAGGAAAAGGTTTCTGGTGGAGATGGGAGGAAAGTGGCTATAGCTAAAGCTTAAAGCAGAGCAAAGTAGCCAAGTTTGCGTTTTCATTCATAATTTTTAGCTTATACTACGACATTATCACATATTGAGACATACTGGACATAAAATGTTGTGGCTCCCAAGGTGGTTTGATTTTTGTTGAGGGGACAAAATGGCTCTTCTTAACTTTTGGGTTGTCGACTCCTGACCTAAACTATCTTTCAATGCAGGGGGTGCCAGTCGGATTTCTCGCTCATCCAGTAGTGTTTTTGTTATGTGCACCTCACAGACTGTCCAGGCGCTGCACTTCCAAGTTCCGTCTTTTGCGTTCCGTCAACATTACGTTATAAATTAAATATTTAGAAAATCGTTTTTTTGACATTTGTAAATCGATTCAGAATCGTCCACGTCCGCATCGCGAGGCATCTAAGAATCGAGTTTTCCCCCCACCCCTAATATACAGTGTGGTCTAAAAGTCTGCCACCACTTTGTAAATCTAGGATTGTTTTCATCTAATCCTGCAAATAAACAACAAAGTTTAACTATTAGCAAAGAAAAGTTATGACAAGTAAGAAGAAGAAGAAATATTCAAGATTCTGCACTATTTGTAGGTTACTATTCAAATTTAAGCAAATTTGTGACCATGTTAAGGCCTTTTTACAAAAAAGTCACTCTTTTTTGGTCTTATTACTTCTATTGTAGCTCGTGTTCAGATGAATCTCAGGTGGATTCGATCTACTCATCAGAGGCTTTTGACACTGTTAGTGATCAGAGTCTGCGCCAGCTCAAGTGCACACTGCCATTATAACAGACAAACACTAAGAAATTCTGAAAGTCATGTTAACATTTTAAAGATTCTTCAAAACACTCAGATTGTTATGCTGATAATATAATTTGTTATGAAAAACTTACAGAATGCAAAATAGAAGCATTTTCACTAGTGGTCTCAGGCTTTTGGTCTTGACTATATTTTGTACATTAGTTTCTCGAAGAGATAGTTTGCTTATTAACATAGAACAAAAAGATTTGACTAGAAGTCAGCTGCAATGGGGCATTATTATTATTGAGATTTACTGCAACCTAATCATATTCACACCTGATTCAAACATACAAATTCTCCAAAAATGTGCCTGTTTTTGCTATTTAATCTGCTCTTCTCTGTTAATGTGATTTTGCAGTGCTGCTGCATTTATTTGAAACGTAAAAGAACATGACCCAAGAGAGCTGATTTTTGAGCATTGAAGTTTTTCCCCCATGTAATATGTCAGAGCCATAGTGTTGTAGTGTATGCGAGGTGTAGAATGTGGAGCAAGAGTGTTTTAAAGTAACCTGTGTCTGAATCGGAGTCAGACCGCTCCAGCCCCCCGACACTGCTGACAATGTTGAGGAGGTGGATGGCCGTCCAAGCGAAGGGCATTCGGAAACGACCCAGCCTACTGCACGACTGCTCTGCCTGAGACTTCAGCTTCTCCAGCTTCTCCTTGTGCTATATAAACACACAAAAACAACGAGACAGGTTGCCTGTTGAAATCCATCAGTCAACAGCCAAAATCAACAGCACTGCATCTCTCACAGTCTAAAAGTTCCCAGGCTGCACAGAACTTGGCTAGAGAATCATACAGTGACTTCAGTGGACTCTGATCATTTCAAAGAACAGTTGCAAATATTGCAGCAGTCTAGAAATTGAGAAATCAATTTATACCAGGTGCATCTGATGACACGTATCCCCTGTAAGTGCACGACCAGCACGTCTAAACTATGGGCAAACACAGAGAGACTGATGGACTGGCAGGTGCTCGTAGGCACGCGCATGCACACACAGACATACACAGAGACACATTTACCTTAGTAGAATCTGATTCTTTCATGACCATATATGGCTCACAGCACTCTCCTATATCTCCCTGCTGCAGCACTTTCTCCAGCTGGAATACAGACACACAAACACATCCAAACTAAGTCCATGCTCTCCCCAAACAGAACAGAACCCACTTAAAAGTCATAAAACTCATGAAACGCTCTTAAAAAAAATTAATAAAAAATCATTTAGATTGTAACAAAATTCTATAGGGAGTAGCATTATACTTAAATTTGGTTTAGACAGCGTAAATTAATGGTCTTGGGCTTGTCTCAGTTGCTACTTACACCACTTACTTGCTCGAAAATCATTCTTGAGAACAACCAAGAGTGATGCCTCCATCTCAGATAACTGGAAACTGAATATTTTTCCTTTTTCTATCATGACTGAATATCAACAAAACCGTCAAATAGAAAAAAACTGTTCTTTCTTTATATGTTGAAATAAAATCAATATACTGCTCGTTGATCCTTTCAATGATGCTTATCTGGATATTGTTTGTTTGTTTTTGTTTACTGGTCCCAAAATTCCAATATCCCCGGTCAGAATGTTGTTATAACTATTTTTTCATTTAATAATAAAAATAGATATATGTTGTTTGGTTCATATTCAGTTGACTTCAGGTTATTTTTCTGAATAAGTTTTGTGAATAAGTTTTAATAATAATAATAATAATAATAAAAATAAATAATAGAGCACTTTTCATACACAAAGTAGCTCAACGTGCTTTACAATTTAAACAATAAAATTAAGTAAAAAAAATAAGTAAAAATTTTAGAGAATGGACAGAGAATCCCCTTAACCAACATTTTCTACCAAAAGTTACAACAAAGTTGTACTAAGACTATAACATAATAATAATTAATAATATTTTTAGGCTAAATAATATTTAAAATGTTATATTTACTATTTTTTTCCTCTTTTTTCTTTTTCTTTTTATATTCTGAAAATCTGTTTTTGTTCATATCCCGTTTTAAACTCAGACCCAGCTACTACAAAGTCTTGGTCTTGAATCTGACTCTATGTGTCCAGGTCTCGTTCTTGATGTGGACTCGCCTCTAGTTGTCTTGACTGCCACTAATAAGCAGTGAGATCTCCAGGAGCCAGGTTGGTGACCTCTGATCTACTAGATAAGCTCTTAACTCAACGATGTTACAGGTTCCTGACCAGAATGTCCCCTCACAGCCACTGTGGGCCTGTGCCCCCTGGTGGCTGTACCTTTATGACCAGGAAGATGTCAGGAGAGGGGTAGGTGATGGAGAAGATGGCAGAGCGGGCGAGGGTGGATATGGCCGTATGGGGGGTGTGGGAGCGCAGCAGGCTCTTCATCTGTTCTGAGTTCAGGTCAAAGTGGAAGTTCTCTGAAATCTGGGACAAGATGAAGGAGAGAATGGACAGGAAAGGAGATGGACAATTACAGAACTACAATTACAATCTTCATCCATAGATCATTACATAAAACTATTTTGAAAGTATTTAGTATTTTAAGTAGTTTTAGAACAATTAAGTAGTTTTAATGCAACACATAACCACCAAAACTGCAGCACTAAACCTACATATGTACCTTTTTCTTTTCCTTCACATCATACAGCGCCAGTGTCCCAAATATTGGTTCGATTTCAATTTCAAACCTAGAAGAGCAACCAAATCAGGTGTAGGTGTCAGGATCTTGTGCACTGATGGAGACAGCTATGTGATATACAGTGGCGTAACTATGTGGTGGGGGGCCAATTGCACAAGAAATCTATACTGGGCAACTCATACAGATAGTGACTATTACATACCCACAACTTTATTGTGAACCTTCAACCTCACTCACTTTATGTGCAGTCATTGTAATCTGTATGCTGCACTTTTATTAGTCTTTGTCGTTACATTACTAAATACTATTAATTATCAGTGTACTATTACTGTTGCTGTGGTACAACCATCGGTCTATTTTCTCTACTGCCCTGTGCTCAATGATTGTATAGCTGTAGTTATTGTATATTTGGATAAGAAATAATTGTATAGTGTTTGTACAGTTTGTCAGTATTTATTGTCTGTCTGCTCTGATGTCTGTTGGTGTTTAATGGTAGCATCCTGTCCTGAAAAACCTACATTTTGTTCCATTCTGAATACATCTGTGATGAGAACAAGGCTGACTTTGACCTTGAATTTGAAAGTGCCATTTTTTTAAACAAAATTCATCTTCAGTTAGCTTCCATCAGTCAACACTACACAGACAGCCCCGACGTCTGTTACTCCTCCTCCTATAGCGCATCTCATCCATGCTGATACTTTCCAACCTGCAACATGATATGTTCACTGTTTTTATTTCTAAAATCTTAGATAGCTAGTTTAGTATAAACCTTTAGGTTAACGTTTGATGCTAGTGGGAGGATTTGCATGACTTCAGAGCAGCAACATGTTTGAATCATTATAGTAAGTAAAAAAGGAAATCACATTGTTTTTTTTATTCATTGAAAGTAAATTCTGCATGGAGGGGTGTTGTTTTTTTCTGCACTGGGGCCCATAAGAACTAGTTACACCACTGATACTGTTTAAGAAAGTATGGTATGAATGAATGCATGGGGAATGTGTGGGCTTGGATTAGAAAGCAGGCAGACTAAACTCACTTGAGAGAAAGACACTTGACCATGATCCGCTGGCCTGTGTGTTCTCTGGGCACCTCAGGGACTGAGCACCTCTCCACAGCCTCATCCTGCCAAACGCATATGCACACAACGTGAGATAGAAAGCTCCACAGCAACAGTGCCATGGCAACGTTGACAAAGGCACCAGAGCAATGTGTACACAGATATAAAGAGGCACCAGCAGTGGAGATGGTAATGAGGGGATGCAATAACGCTCTAGTCAAGGGAGCTAAAAGAAAAAGAATTCTGAGAAAGGTTTATTAGACAGATGGCTGGAAAAGGGTGAATTGTTCTCCTGCGCTTCGTCTGACACTTAACATCAGGTTTTTTATAGTGTAGAGAATGAGAGAAAAACGTTTGTTTGTACAGTTTTTCCATCAGGCTCACATGTACCCACAGACCCACAAAAAATTACTGCAGGGGTCTACAATCCTGTCCATAAATGATCAGGGTAGCTGCAGGATTTTTATTCCAATGAAGTAGGAGCACACATAAGGATTATAATCAGAGACTAGTTAAATAAGCAGAATCAAATTTGACCGATATGAAAACCTGCAGTCACAGTGGCTCTATATAGACGAGACTGGACACCCCTGTTCCATTGTTTAAGGTTCAAACCTCATCTGGTGCAGGATAAAGCCCCAGCAAGTCAGGGTGGCGCCCCTGCTGACGGTTCTCAGTGTTGCGGCGGTCCATGTCCTCAGCAGCCGTGCGCTCCAGCAGAGACGGCAGAAGAGCATCTGGGGATGAATTCTTCAGGTCAAAGATACTGGAGGCCCAGCTGCCCCGTGGTGTGTCATCCAGAGACACTGATCTCCTCTTAGAGTCATCCTAAACAAACAGGCAAATGCATATTATGTTTAAGAGTACCATAACTGTATGCTACACAGGCCTCAAGCCCCCTGCATACATATCCAGGTAGTTAAAAGTGCAACCAAACAATGCAATGTTTACAACCAAAGAAAGAAACGCTCTGTGTAAAAGTCATTTGTCATTGTCTTTAAGTGTCTTTCATCATGAAGACTCAAATTACTTTGTAGGCTTTTATCAGCCATTTTATAAAAATGAGGCGCGGGTCCAAACATGTTTAGATCGTGTGACATCAACTGGGCAAACTCGCTGTAGAAGAAAAAGATTTGCATGCTCATTGGTTAAAGCTGCTAATGCAATGCTAGCCACTTTTCCACAGTTTATTCAGTGCAGTACATGATCGGTGAGTTGATACATGATACATGATCAAAAGTGACGGGGAATCTACAGAAAGTAATGTTAAGCTGAAAAAAAACCCCACAAAAACGAAGGAAGAAAACTAAGAGACCGGCATCAGTAAAGAACCAGAACCAGGGAAAATATCAGTATCTTCTTTTCCAAGTGGAACAATCTTATGAAGGACAGAGGGCGTTGATCGTTCCTAAGGGAAAGATAGGGTCAAATACTTTAGTTCTAATCAGGCATTGTCAACATGTCCAAAGTCTTAAGTTTAAATATGTATCAAAGTGTAACGGTATTTTGGTGCTGACATACATGCTAAAAGCATACCCACTACATACCAAGTGAATGCTATGATCAGTGTAGAAACAGAAGTCGTCCACATGACTTTAGTATCCATTCTGTAGCTCTTAGTATTAATGCAATAGTGACTGGTCCATCAGGAAGAGTAAATAATTCACTAAGCAGTCTTGCTGTCAGTCTGATCTCTTATAGTTACCAGTAACTTATCTCTGACATCTTTTGAGCGACACTGACAAAACAGCTATCACCTGTCATTCCATCATCAAATAAGAAGAGGGAAACCGCCTCTCCACAACACCAGGGGGCAGTAAAGACACACTGTATGACCCACCCCTTTAGGTGTCAGTATAGAGCTGCAAGAACATTGCCATACTGGTTGTTTCGTAAGGAAAAGTAGAAAAACGCTTATTGCTCATTTAAACTGGACATGCTTCAGTGTGAATGTAAACTGTAGTTAAAAACCCGGTAAAGCTGACACAATTAACCTTTATAAGACCTAGTACAATACCTGGGTAATTACTAGAACGGTTGTGTGAACAGAAGATGATACATTACAACGCAAGGACTCTATTAAGGAATAATTTTAAAAAAGTGGAAAAACCTGTATGACAAATGAACACGTCCAAATAGGTAATGCACCACAGTAAATATGTCTTACTCACAACCGCACCATCTAACACAACCACACCTGATCATCCTGTCGTTCCGCTGCAGCAGCTTCATCTAGTTCAAACGTCTGCTTGACCAGCCCCTTCTGCTTCTCCCTCTGCCGCTCTGTGTTGTGAGGAGTCTGCATGGAGCTATAGCGCTGATACCTGAGAAAGAATGTCATTATATCCATAAACATCATAGACAGAAACATTTAAATTGACATTAAAAACACTTTAAAGGAATTTCACTCCTCTGAAATGTGCTAAAATTCCAAATCACAAATTAAAGACAATAAGGGGCAAAGTTAGCAAAATGAGAGTGACTAGTTCACTCATTTTCATGTCAGTTGGCCATGTTAGCATTTTTGGGTGGAGTACTTCTTTAACACACACAGATCCTCCTACTCACTTCCTCTGAATGATGAGCCAGTCATCGGTGTACACCCCCAGCGCATCTCTAACTCTCGGATCCACTGTGCTGCAGCACAAAACAACACTGCGTCAGAGCTACTATGAAACACCAATTAATCTCTTTAATACAGTTATAAGCAGGACAGAAGAGATTATCCATAATCAGCAGCTTATCTGCTTACCTGTGGAGGCACAAGGAGGTTATTCTGAAAGAGTATAGTGCTTGTGAGAGTATGTGTATGTGTGCAAAGAGGGCTCACTCTTCCTCAGGCAGGGCTGGCTCCAGTGTTGTGCACTCTCTCTCCTGCAGAATGAGCTCCAGGTCATCATTAGGAAACTCCAGTAGTTGCCTGAGAGGTCCAGGCTCAGGACTGGGGGCATGACTGCTCACATATTCCTCATAGTCTACCGGCTCCACTACCTCTGTAAGGGGCACCTATAACGTACAGGCACAGGAAGAGAAGGTCACTAAAGGCTCGTTTATTCTCAATGTTAAATACGGATACGAACACAGTGTTCTGTCCATACTCTGCGTTCATTTTGTCTGTATTTGTGCATGTTCTCTGAAAGCTTACGGATACAGATTAAATGAGGCTGTGGGCGCAGTGTAACCAAAGTTCACTCGAGACACTATGCCAATTTCTCTCATTGGTAATGTAAGGGGAAAAAATTGTCCGTCCACACGTCATAAAGGATCTAATGGCCTCACAGCCCACCACAGTCTACACTGGTGCCTCTTTCGTCTCTTTTGTTAGTTTGTACGTTATTACAACCTCCTCCACTATTGCCAAGTTTGTTGTTGACAGAAACGTTTCACTCTGGACTGCCCTCTAGTGGATGTATTGGTTAACACTCATGTCAACGTAAGGGTCACATGGAAGTATGAGGGCAATGACTGTCACGTTATTTGAAACGGACGTGTTCTTTTTCACATGTAAAGAGGGTATACATGAACCTTAAGACTACCTAAGCTACCTAACTAACAAATAATTATTTTTATAATCGATCAACCAAAAGGCTATAATTGAATTAATAACAAGTCTATTAAGCTTTCTTTGGTTCCGCTCTCTTTGCCACCACCATCATTCAAAGTTCCTTTAGTGCAACTAGCAATTTCTTCAACAAGAGAAGCCATATCGCCCCAGTACTTCCTGCAGAACACTGCAATCTATCATAGACTTCTAAAGTCATCATCCTGTAGTCAGCGTCTTGTCCACATTAGGAACTCCAGTTCGTATTTGATTATCTCTATAAGAAAAATGAATTGTGTTTTCGCCTCCATGGCACTCAATCAATCAGCTTGTCATTGCTCTAATAGTTTGCTGAGCAAACAGACAAGTAAACACTACTCCAAATTTGAACGTTTGTTCATTTTGCATTAAAAAGCAGCTGACATTAGATTAGAGGTCTGTGCATGACTGATTTTTTTCCCATTCCCACCCGCAGAAGTACTTTATTGACTGCTGTTTCATTTCACTTTTCTCCAAGTAGTTTGCCACCCCTTAAAAACACTGGTTCTAAACTGGACACATTTTCAACACTCTGGCAACACCCCTACCAAAAAGCCTTCACCAGGATCAAAAAAAAAAAAAACCTGTTCATTCAAGTCTGCCACCAGGAGTTACGGTGCATACACATCCCTGCTGACAACAGAACAATATATTTTTTTTAATCTCAGCATGTACAACTGCAGCTTTTTGTGTGCTACCATGTTTCTGTATCACAATATAAAATATGCATGAGGTTTCTTTTCTTGTTTAATGAACAATGTTTCTTTCCAAGCAAACACGTGAGCTCATTCAGAAAGCAGTTCAGGTGGATAAGAACTTATTATTGTTTTATTTAATCAGAGCAATAATAAGGTGTGACTGATGTGTGCCTTACAGACCTATTCATGTGTGAAACAAAATAGGGCTGGCCTGAAAAGCATTTTATAGGCTTTGGGTACTTGTTGGTATTCCGGACGAGTACACGAATATTTGTTCTTAAAATACCCCTGAAAAACAAATTTATCTACGTATCATGATTAAGCATAATTTTAAGCATGTTTGTTACTTAAGTTCATACATCCAATTTCTTAATATGCTGAATCAGCTGAAATCCAACGCACCGTTTGTTGCTATTACAGAATTCAAAATGAATGCCCTCTCACTAAAGCACAGCTCTTATGAGTCACTTGTTTTTGAGTTTATGAGTCACTGTTTTCATTTTTTGACCAGAATTTTATGTGGCTAGCTTGCCATTTTATTTTTTTATCATGGAAAGCAGCACTGAGGGCAGCATCCATGCTGAGTTGAACACGGTCATAGTCAGGTTTAACGCAGTCATGGTTCTCTCGATGCACAGCCTAAACAGACTATAGCTAAAGTCACTAAAGTTAACTTCACCTCCAAACCAGCAGCACTGGTGTTCCCCTCCTTCATCACTGTCAGAACTCACCACAGCTAACACTTCTAAGGCTCTGAGCTCCCTAGTTTTTTCGTCGTTCTCACCAGAGCCTTGCACTGCTCATATTAATTACTGCTATACTTACATATTTGAGATGATTCATCGAAGTTGTTGAGCCCCCGTGGATTACCAGCCTCTTACTGCACATCTGCACTGAGCATCTTTTATCTAACAATTTAAAGCGCTTCCATGATCTCTTATGCATCTGTGCTCTATTAGTTTAAACATCAAGAGGAAAGTGTGAAGAGACCAAGTTCCTGATTACCAAACTGAGAACCAAATATCAACATAAAAAACAAATACTCAGGTATTCAAACTATTCAGCCCAGCCCTAACACAAACTGAATAAATTCTATGAATTCCCAGCTTTGCTAGGTCATGTTCTTATGTATAAACATCAAATAAATGTGGAAACAGCCCCGAGAAATCGTGGTAATAATAAAAAAAAAAGTAAATCAAATAGCAGAAATAGTCTTTTTTTGATCTGCCTTAAAGGGTTAACAGCATTCTCATGATTACGCTGTAAAAAGTGACTTGGGTTTATGAAAGGCACTATCTAAATAAATCTTAATAAAAAAATGATGGATTGTGTATCGGTGGTGGGGGAATGAATCAGATCCAACCCTATAACAAATCTAGCCTGTGTGATGTCATGTTGTTTGCTATGTATGACTTCCTGTGGGGTATGTGAGTGTTTGACTAGCCTGAATTAAAGTAAAATAATGTGTAAATTCAAATAAGCTCATTTTAAAGCATAGTATTTTTTTCAAGAAGAAATATCACAAGAAAGAAGGAATATCTCTCTTGTCAACCTACACTGCAGGTCTGCCTTACAAACTACACTTCACATGGAAATCTGCGAGACTGAGGGAGGGTAGTGAGACTTTGAGGGCAGAAGAGAAAGCGACTGCGGTTTGTGATAATTACCACTTCCCTTTCCCACTACTGTTCATAAAGCTCTTGGCTTTACTCTTACACAAGGGAAAAAGAAACATGGTAAAGCAGCCAAAGTAAAATGCCAGGAGATTCCAGACTGGTGTGAGAGACTGACATCATGATCTGCGGTATCAGATTGTGCTTGTAAAGCCTCCTTTCATCCGAGGTAGCTTTCAAAGCAAATACTTGGCATAATCTTTCAAATTCCACCCCCATCCTTGGAGACAGTCTCCACAGCTCAGGTAAGCAAAAATAAAACAGGAAGCCACATACTGCAAAAACACATCAACAGGCAAAAACTCACCGGCTGATGGGCCCCAGCTCGTTTTTTGGACAGCTGAGGAGAGCCATACTCCCTGGATACCTGCTTCCTGACCTCTGCAGCTACCGTCCTAAGAGAGAGAGAGAAAAAGAAAGAGGGTCAGAGAGAGACTAACACTATTTAAACTGACTATGGCTCATACAGAGGAACTGTTCTGCTGAAAAATCTATTTTACACAAATTTCCCCCTTAATTCAAACGCAGTAAATCAGCTAAGACATGCTTGCTGTCTAAAGTTTTCTTCTTTAGTTTTGCACTGGAACTACAAGGCTAACGTAGCTAACAACTAACAGAAATGTCTAACCACCAATTATGTTTATGCAAGCTGCATGCTTAAATCACTGCACACTAGCCTTGGACTGGTGATTGATATTATCAAATATCGAATATCGCAATAGTTTAAATTAAGTGCTGGTATTGCAAATTATTTAGTTTTCTTTGTTTTGCCATTATTTAACCATTCTTGTTGTATTCATTCTAATCTATGGTTAATTTAAAAATGTACACAACAGAAAGGATAGCACTTAACCATAGACAGTGAAAACAGAACATCACTAACTAATTAACTACACCACCACTTTTAAAAATTACAACGTAGATTTTCAGTCTGGCAAAGAATGCTGGGGTACAAGTAAAAGAACCAAAGAAACTCTGGTGCATGAGATCTGCTCCTTGGTAGACAGTAAAATAGACGAAGATGTTCAGAAGAAGGGGTCCGATTGCGCCAACATTTTGGTTTCCAACCAAACAAATGCAGAGAACCACTTGATGTTAACAGTGTTTCATGCTGTCTTGTCCTTATAAATGATGTAATATCAGAATCTAGCCCAGGTGGTAATTACATGGTAATTATAGCACCATTAGCATAAAGGTAATACAGGCCTTTAGAACTAAATCTAGATCCTGATGATACTGTTTACCGCACTAATTCTGCAAACGATAATCTTTTGTCTAAATTTACATTATCATCCAAGCATATCACACACCTGCCTCAAGCTGCACTGAGCTGTTAAGTAATCTCGAACGGACTTGCTTATCTGGTTTCTGAATGGCATACTGTTATCTGTAAGTATGAACAAAACTCAGGCTTCAAGACGGCTGCTACTGCTGTTTTAGCTATGCAGCATACTATTTTCATTTTGCATTGTTTTAACAGCCACTTTATTAATTATAATAGCATGAAGTATGTCCACACACTGCCAAACAAACAATCTGCGATTAAAACTAAAACATGGATGATCAACTGCATGATGAATTTGCAGTAGATGCTGCCAAGTGGGATACTGCAGCAGCAATTTTGAAAGAGCACCAAAGCTGAGGCTTTTGAGTGATGTTGGAGTTCTGGCAGAAAACAGGCACGATGTCACAGCTCTGCCCATTTATGGCCCAACAGCAAAAGAGCAGGCTCAGCCCTCAACAAAGCCCCAGCAACCCCCGCGCCCTCCTCGTCCTTTCAAAGACAGCGTGCAGCTGCTCCCTCACAAACTGGCTCAGTTGTTCAAAGTCACACGAGTGTGTATATACACACACACACACAGCTGCCAGGGTTCCAGATTTCCCCTTTGACACTCCCCATGATAAACCCCGGCTGTCTCTCCTTATGTGTGCTATTTGTTCTATAGTGCAGCATGGTACGCTCACAGCCCCTTAAACAAAGAAATACTTTGGCAAAAAAAACAAAAATACAATATTTTTCCCTTAACCAAATATAGTGGATCAGCCAAGATGCGTCTGGTGTCCACAGTTTGCTTCTTAAATCTTACACTGGAGCTCAAAGGCTGGCATAGCTGACCAATGGTCAAAAGTATGCTGTACAGCTAAAAACAGAAGTTTCGTAAAACCTCTGTCTGTATTTTTGCCCATTAGATAGGCCAATGTAGTCAAACTAGTACTAGGCGAAGTGCGTGACTAAATCGTTAGTAACTAGATCAAGATGTTAAAGTCAATCTGAAACCAAAACTGGCCCTTTTTCACCTTGTTAGCTCATATTAAGCATGATTCCTAACATCACTTAAAAGACACAGTTCTTATCTTTCTGCGATTTTTGTTCAAAGTGTAGTTAAATTAGACCCACCTCAAAGATGACTGCTGACTTTTGATCATCAGTAATAATAATAACCAACAATATCATGTTTCCCTTCCACCATCGAGTGAAACACTCTACTGTTTTACTGAGAAAAACTCTTTCATATTATTACAGTCTACAAAATTGGACAAAAGCAAAGACAAACATTTTTCTAAATACTACTGTTTTTAGCTATCCAGCATACATTTGACCATTAGCTACATTAGCCTTAGAGCACTATAGCTCATAGAATCAAACTTCAGATGCCAAGCATGTCTTGGCTGATCGGCTGTATTTGGGATAAGAAGAAAGTTGTGTGAATTTAATTCTTTGCCAAACTATTTGTCTAAGTGGTAGGGACAGCTTGTGCCTCTTAACTACCCGCACCATCATCCAAACAGACACAACTCCTTGACCTCAACTCAACATACTCCAGTGGAGAGCAGGCCTGTGGACCGGATGAGAGACCTCTCCCAGGGGTCAACATTGTACTGCACTACTGCGGCTGGCCAGGAACTGATTTCCTGAGATAATGAATCGGTCAGAAAACGCCTTATAGAACAGTACAAGAATGTCAGTTTGAAGCTTTGTTGTGCTCATCTGAAGTGTGAAAAACCTTCAAACTCAATATGGATGCTAGTGCACATGGTCACAACAGGGAAGCAATACAGCTGAGACCAAGATCCAAAGATTTTGTGTCTTTCTACAGGTCTTCAAGAACAACTGCAGAATATAAAGGCAATGTTTACACAGAGTCAATAATGTATGCATGAGTGCTGTATGTATAATGGACGTCCATTTCCCACCTCAAGAGGAAAAAGGAAAACCCGTCTGCTCTAAAAGCAACAGCCGGAATGGACCACACACCCTTTCCTGTATCCTGCACTCAAACAATGAACTCAGCCACACTGGAAGAAAGATAGGTGGGACACTGCAGAAGCTAACAGCATTATAATGAACAGGTTTTAGAATAAATGTGGAGGTCACATCACAGAGGCACCACATAAGATTTGAAACTGGCTCGTTTTCCACATAAAAACTTGCACCAATAATGCAGGAATTAGGTAGTGTAGTGTATGTATCCATGGTACTATGTGGGGCATATGTTGTGTGCTCCAATGCCACCACAGTAGACAAAGTCATGGCCCACTCCTAGTACCAAATTTAGTGAGATTTAATCTGGGACAGGAATGTATTCACCTGTACGGTGAAATGTGACTGCTATTTCTTAGAGCTTCCTTCCTTGTCTGCCTGCATCACTGCAAACACTGATGTGCAGCTTAGCCGTCAGAAGGACTGGAGTAAACAGTGAGATAACAGTTAGCACCGTTTTCAAACAGTCAATAGTTAGTCCTAAATCCAGAGAGAGAGCTCAACTTAAACAAAAGGAGAACTTGTATTTCCTTGTTCTGCATTCCAAATGAAAGTAGAAGAGCGATTGATAGTGTAATGACTAAATGAAACCCGACCTGAAGCGGTTTATGTGGAAAAGACGTAACTAGCTAGTTAGCCGAGTTTTATTCATTTTAGGCAACATTTATGCTAAACTGACGAACCGTCTCTGTTCTACGGGAATAAAAGCACGAATAAACTACAGTGATACTCGCCAGTCCAGCTCGCCTATTAGCTAGCTTAATTAAATTAGCTAACGTTAACATAACGCAACCAGAAATCGATAGCCTTCATACATGGCCGCATAACTTTTCCCCAGACACGGGACACAACCTTCCGGTGACTTCTAGGACAAAAATATGGATAATGCCGGTTATATGTATAGCAACGTGTGATTCTTTTTTTGAGGAACGACGCCAATAAGGACAGCAGTGTTAATTTCAAATGGGTCTGAGGCGCCTTTTCGGCGAGCTAAACAAAAGGCTCCTCCGTGTCCAGCCTCCAACCGTCGCGGTTCATGGCAACCGATCTGATCATGCGCTTTAGCGGACAGCCCGACCTAAAGGAGCACGGCGAGGGCAACCGCCGCCTCGCCGCTCTCACTCACAGACAAAAACAATCAACAGCAGCCTGTACGGACCTGTTAATCTTGTGAGCAAACGCTCTCCGCTCGCTCGCCAGGCTTGCCATCCTATCCGAGCCTGAAGCGCTGCTCCCCCGAAACTCTCTTCGTCTAAGTTGGCTGATTATTTGTTGTGCGGTACTTTGGACATCGCTTCCTTGTGTCCAGTGCAGGGCGTGCTGCTTCCTCCTAGCGGTCAGGGGCCAACATGGCCGAGCTCCACTCCTCTCCACACCGGCTCCGTAAACACCTGAGCTCACTCACTCAGCGAACAGGCGACACCATGTGACCGAGAGAGCAGCTACAGGCCGCGCTCGCGCCGAGAGAACTGCGGTGAATGACGGTGGATCCCGATCTACAAGAGGAGGACCGTTTAAGAATCGACCAAGATTCCTTCACTCTATTCCCCTCTGCTGACAAGAATGAAAGATGTTAAGGCAAAGGGTGGACACAACAAACGGGTTATTCTCCGTTTGTAGTGGGAAACCATGGCACAAAGGCTGCAGGGCTTAAAATTTTAGACACGGTCCCATAAGTCAGTATGTACATTTACACAGTTGATATATTAAATAACACTTTTCCCTTATGATTTCTCTGATTTTTCTTTTTTTATCCTGTTTCACAGTCGCTCTGCAGATGTAAAACAGCTCGTCACATAACCAATTGTTAACATTTGAGAAACCATTTTTAATAAAAAACAATATTTTTAAGAGGTTTAAACTAAATTAGGAATTTGTATAAAACAGATTTATGTTTACTTTTTATATCATTAACACGATACTACATTTAAAAAGTATGTATTTTATTATATTTCATAAAAAATACAGGACTCTCGTAATACATTTTAACATAGTATTTTCAACTCTGTTAAAGTGCTTCTTTGGGTCGGGGCTCAATAGAGATGAAGCATCTCAATGTATAAGAAGGCAAGTCCATACTTGTTTATTATATTTCATTAATTTGTCAATAATTTTGTTTATCAGGCATCACATAGCACCAGCGACACATATAAGTTATGTGCTGCCTTATAAACAAAATTATTGACAAATTAAAAATTTGTCAAAATAATGCCATATATCATTTTTATTACTGATTTTAAATACAACCCCATTTCGAAAAAAAGTTGGGACGCTGTGCAAAATGTAAATAAAAACAAAATGCAATGATGTGCAATTCATGTAAACCCTATATTTAATTGAAAATAGTACAAAGACAACAAATCAAATGTTGAAACTGAGAAATTTTATTGTTTTTTTGAAAAATATGTGCCCATTTTGAATTTGATGCCAACAACACGTTTCAAAAAAGTTGGGATGGGGGCATGTTTACCACTGTGTTTCATCACCTCTTCTTGTAAAAACACTGTAAGCGTTTGGGAACTGAGACCGACCGCTGTAGATTTGAAAGTGAAATGTTTTCCCATTCTTGCTTAATATAGGATTTCAGCTGCTCAACATTTCGGGGTCTCCTTTGTCATATTTTTCATTTCATAATGCGCCAAATGTTATCAGTGGTGACAGGTCTGGACTGTAGGCAGGCCAGTTTAGCGCCCAGACTCTTTTAATACGGAGCAATGCTGTTGTAATACATGCAGAATGGGGTTTAGTATCGTCTTTATGAAATAAGCAAGGCCTTCCCTGAAAAAGATGTCATCCGGATGGCAGCATATGTTCCTAAAACCTGTATATATCATTCAGGATTAATGGTGCTTTCACAGATGTGCGTCACCCATGCCATATGCACTAATGCACCCCTATACCATCATGAATACTGACTTTTGAACTGTGCACTGATAGCAGGCTGAGTGGTCTTTAGCTCGGAAATGGGGTTATAGTTGCATGAGGTCACCTGACCACCAATGAGTCAGCCAATTTACAAAATCCTCAGTTTTAACCAGAATGTCACTGGTGTCACAGTCACTGGTGTTAAACCATTTTTAAATAACACCAGTGACATGTTGTGACACCAATAACTAATGTTAATGTCATGAATGATCAGAACATTTCTTTAGTCCTGAGACTGGACAGTTTAAAAACAAATGGTGTTTTGTTCTAAACCATGTCCTCTGCTGCCTACTAAATAAAATAGTACATTCATTATTTTTTCCGTTTACTGGAAAACATATTCAGTGTAAATGATAGGTTGCCAATATTCAAAATAACAATTACAAAATTCAATTGCTGAGATGTAAACAAAGTCATTCAGAATGGTTTGATGTGAAATTGTTCACTGAAGAGAAACTTACTGACTCAACAGAAATATAGTCATTTTACTCTCTATCCAAAACAACTACCAAACCTACATCTATCTTCTGAGTTTTTATAAGTAATGTTGATAACTATGAAACAGTAATAAATATGTAAAAGTAAAAATACTTATGATACTTTTTTGCTTTACAACACCCTGCATGCATCTGATTTCAAAAATATGTTTGAGGCCAACAGCTTATCTCAAAACTGTCATAAAACAACATCTCAGACATCAGGCAGTATTAGTAACCATTTCATGTAGTTGCTTTCTGTGAGGAAGCTTTTAGAGGCATTAAACTGTTTGGGTGTCTGGTTCCTCCCACTATCACTGTGAGCAATTCTGACTATAGTTTCTCTGGAGTGGAGCATCTCACATCAAACCACTCTGACTGAGTTCATATTTTAATGATTGAATTATGAACACATTTTGAAAAATCAGCGCAATTCCATTTTAAGTACTTTTCGGTGTTAGAAAAAAGAGAAACATGTAACAGTAAAATTACACAGAATCCTCAAACCCCTTAATATACAGTGCATCTGGAAAGTATTCACAGCACTTCACTTTTTCCACATTTTGTTATGTTACAGCCTTATTCCAAAATGGATTAAATTCATTTTTTCCCTCAAAGTTCTACACACAATACCCCATAATGACAGTGAAAAAAGTTTGTTTGAATGTTTTGCAAATTTATTAAAAATAAAAACAAAAAGAAATCACATGTACATAAGTATTCACAGCCTTTGCTCAATACTTTGTTGAAGCACTTTTGGCAGCAATTACAGCCTCAAGTCTTTTTGAGTATGATGCTACAAGCTTGGCACACCTATTTTTGGGCAGTTTCTCCCATTCTTCTTTGCAGAACCTCTCAAGCTCCATCAGGTTGGATGGGGAGTGTCGGTGCACAGCCATTTTCAGATCTCTCCAGAGATGTTCAATCGGGTTCAAGTCTGGGCTCTGGCTGGGCCACTCAAGAACATTCACAGAGTTGTCCCGAAGCTACTCCTTTGTCACCTTGGCTGTGTGCTTAGGGTCGTTGTCCTGTTGGAAGATGAACCTTCGCACCAGTCTGAGGTCCAGAGCGCTCTGGAGCAGGTTTTCTTCAAAGATGTCTCTGTACATTGCTGCATTCATCTTTCCCTCGACCCTGACTAGTCTCCCAGTTCCTGCTGCCAAAGAACAACCCCACAGCATGATGCTGCTACCATGCTTCACTGTAGGGATGGTATTGGCCAGGTGATGAGCAGTGCCTGGTTTCCTCCAGACATGACGCTTGGCATTCAGGCCAAAGAGTTCAATCTTTGTTTCATCAGAGAATTTTGTTTCTCATGGTCTGAGAGTCCTTCAGGTGCCTTTTGGCAAACTCCAAGAGGGCTGTCTTGTGCCTTTTACTGAGGAGTGGCTTCCGTCTGGCCACTCTACCATACAGGCCTGATTGGTGAAGTGCTGCAGAAATGGTTGTCCTTCTGGAAGGTTCTCCTCTCTCCACTGAGCAATGCTGAAGCTCTGTCAGAGTGACCCTTGGGTTCTTGGTCACCTCCCTGACTAAGGCCCTTCTACCCCCACCATTTAGATTGGCCAGGCAGCCAGCTCTAGGAAGAGTCCTGGTGGTTCCAAACTTCTTCCATTTACAGATGATGGAGGCCACTGTGCTCATTGGGACCTTCAATGCTGCAGAAATTTTTCTGTACCCTTCCCCAGATCTGTGCCTCGATACAATCCTGTCTCGGAGGTCTGCAGACAATTCCTTGGACTTCATGACTTGGTTTGTGCTCTGACATATACTGTGAACTATGGGACCATATATAGACAGGTGTGTGCCTTTCCAAATCATGTCCCATCAACTGGATTTACCACAGGTGGACTCCAATCAAGTTGTCAAAACAACTGAAGGATGATCAGTAGAAACAGGATGCACCTGAGCTCAATTTTGAGTGTCATGGCAAAGGCTGTGAATACTTATGTACATGTGATTTTTTGTTTTTTTATTTTTAATAAATTTGCAAAACATTCAAACAAACATTTTTCACTTTGTCATTATGGGGTATTCTGTGTAGAATTTTGAGGGAAAAAATGAATTTAATCCATTTTGGAATAAGGCTGTAACATAACAAAATATGGAAAAAGTGAAGCACTGTGAATACTTTCCAGATGCACTGTAATATCAAATATATCACTTATATCAGTATTTAATTGGTTCACTCCACTTGGTCCACTCCAGTTTTGTGCACCCTATGCCACCAACCAATTACAGCTGTGTCCACCCAACAAAACCTGTTCCCAAAGGAGTCACTGACATTATGTTCCCCTTCAAAGAGACACTAACATTCACACAAGAAACTACCCAAACACACCTCAGCTGCCTCAAAGATTTCTTTCTCAGGCATATTTCTGCTGTTTCTAAAACTTTTCCAAAAATTATAAAAATGTATTAAAAGATATAGAGAAAATGAGACTCCTAACAACTGTGCAAGACCTGGGAGATAAAAGATTTCACAAACTCGTTACTGAGAAAGGCACTTAAAAAGAAGAACATTTGCAAATCAAACCAAGAATCTACTGGTGTTCTCAGAACAATGAACTGGCCACAGCATCACTGAATTTGTTTAGGATTTGGAGAAAGAGACCTAGAGAGGAAGAGAGGAAGAGAGAGAGAGAGAGAGAGAGAGCGAACCTCCTAAAGGTACCTCCAGAAAGTATTCATCCCCCTTGATTTTTTCCTCATTTTGTATTGTTACAAACAGGACTTGAAAACGATTTAATTGAGATTTTATGTGATGAATCTGCACAAAGTAGCCCATCATACTGAAGTGGGGGAAAATCAATATAGTCTGTAAAACTATCAGAATATTTACAAATAAAAATGTTGTGATGGCACAAGTATTTAGCCATGTTG